ATTCTATTCTATTCTATTCTATTCTATTCTATTCTATTCCCCAGAAGGTCAGTGGGGAAGCTGGCAAAGAAGGTTACAAGCTGCTGCTGCCTGCCAAAGGATTTCCCCTCCTCTCCATGCATGGAGAGGCAGAAATCCTTCATTGGGCTGCCAAAATGAAGCTTGGATCTTCAGGATCTATGCTTCATTTTTGCCAGCCAGCATAAGAGTTTCCTTCTGTGCATATACAGGCTTGGGAAATTCTTGCACTGGGCTGGAGAAACTTAAGTGGGGATCCTGAAGATTAGAGTTCCATTCATACACTCCACCAAAGGAGTTCCCTTCCATGCATGGAGGGAAGCTGCCTACCCTCATTGGCAGGCAGCTTTTTCGCTCCATCCACTTGATGACCCATGTGATTATGTAGCAACCATAATGGAGAAATGGGATTGCATTCGTTGGGTGAAGTCATGTGGGCATCTTGCTTAAAAAGCACTTCGCTGAATGACCAAATCATGACCTTGGCATTCTTAATAAAATTCAACAAAAATGTTTTATTTGTATCTGCACAACTTTGCTTTGAAAGATTTTTGGATGATTGACTGTATGAGCACCTATCGGTATTCTAAAATGGTAAATATATTTTTCCTAAATAGCTCACCCACACAGAGGTGCAGAACCTTTTTTGCCTTAGATATAAGGTTTTGGTAAAAAAAGAAGGGACTATTGAAAGTAGGCCTTTTGGCAGTTTTGTAGGATAAAGAGTCTGTAAACTTGTGTGCATCAGTTTTTTTGTTTTTCTTTACAAAACTAATATCCTGTGAGTGTGTTCTTTTTTCTCTCCTTCCGTTCAGGTTTATCAGTATGGACAAAATATAAAATATATTTTATTTAAAACTCCAAATAAAAATGTTGGTTTTAAGTAGGCTGCATTCTGATGGAACAAAAATTGAAACAACCTGAATGTTCCATTGCCAATTCAGTTGTAGAGGGGAAAAAAACACAGTACATTCTGTCCCTCCGGCTCACCTGTCTGTATTTATATTTTAATACTGAACATGACAAAAAAAACCCACACCAAAATAACACACTTAGAGGAGTATTGATTTGGGGATTTTTCTCTTGAACTATGAACTATGTGTATTAGCCTGCAGTGTGGATGAGTACCAGGGGTGCTATTCAGCAGGTTCTGACAGGTTCTGGAGAACCAGTAGCGGAAATTTTGAGTAGTTCAGAGAACCGGCAAATACCACCTCTGGCTGGCCCCAGAGTGGGGTGGGAATGGAAATTTTGCAATATCCTTCACCTGGAATGGAGTGGGAATGAAGATTTTGCAGTGTCCTTCCCCTGCCACACCACCAAGCCACGCCCACAGAACCGGTAGTAAAAAAAATTAAATTCCACCACTGATTAGTACACATTTTTGTATAAAGGTGCATAATGTTATTCACCAATGCCTGGGTCCTGCAGTAACAATACTATATACTATAGACAAATATAACATGCCTCAACTGGAGCATATAACTGGACACGTGGGATATGTTCTTGATGAGAAACAAATACGTTATTCTCCCACTGTAATCAAAATGGCATAGTCAGTTCTGTTGTGTCATTCCTGTTCAGCTTTTATGATGATAGATTCAGTTGGTATCTTTTGTTCATTTCTACATTGTCCTTTGTAAGAGGAATGAAGATTTTGGGTTATGTCTTTATGAAATCACACCTATACTATCTAACAATATAACTGAATAGAATTCTGTTCACACAAACTTTACTTACTGAATCTAATGGCTTGTTACTAGAATATATGTGTCTTGTTTTGGCACTCAGTACAAAATCACCAGATCTAGGATATTCCAATATTAATGTTCTGTATTAAAGCAGAACTTGAAACTTATGTACTACCATGAGATCTTTGCTTTCTTGTCAATATAAATGGTAGTTCATTGTGAGTGCTATCTACAACTCAGCACACATAAAGTTGACCACTAAAATGATTTAAAACAAAGCAATGTAAGAAATAAATGCATCAGTGTTTGCATAAACAGCCACAAAATTCTGAGCCCAGCAAAGGAGCAGCAGGAATTTAAGGAGACTTTTCAATGCAGTGTACAATACAGTGGTGCTTAAAAGTTTAAAAAAAAATTGAATTTTCAATATTTGTGCATAAATATGATCTAAAACATGATCTGTTCTCCACACAAATCCTTAAAACTAGATAAAGAGAACCGAATTAAATGAGTCAAAAACATTGTACCTGTTCATTTATTCACTGAGGAAAATGATCCAAAATTGCATAGTTTGTGGTAAAAGTATATTTTATTTATTTATTTATTAAATTTATATACCGCCCTATTCCTAAGGGACTCAGGGCAGTGAACAGCGAACGATAAAAATACATGTAATACAAACGTTAATAATAAAAAACCAATTAAAATATACTAAACATTCTGGTCCTAGATAATTCAAGACATCCTAGTTTAAAATAAAATCAAAGAGCAATATAAAGGGAAAGTTAGGCCAGGCCGGCCTGCTGAAACAGGAATGTTTTGAGGGCACGGCGGAAAGTGCGCAGATCCGGAATCTTCTGTATCTCTGGGGGGAGCTCGTTCCAGATGGTGGATGCCCTCACAGAAAAGGCTCTCCCCCTGGGGGCCGCCAGTCGACATTGTTTGGCTGACGGCACCCTGAGAAGCCCCTCTCTATGGGAGCGTACTGGGCGGTGAGAGGCTATTGGTGGCAGAAGGCGGTCTCGTAAGTACCCCGGTCTTGAGCCTCTGGGATTATCAGTTCATTTTCCTATGTTCAACGTAGTCCTTAATCTCACAATCTGCTCTTTCGGAGAGACTCCTGGCCAGAATTTGCTTCAGGGGTGTCTAGTTCATTATGAATCCTCACTGGATTCATAAGGAGTAGTAGTGCTCCTTAATCTCTGAACATGTGTTTTATTGATTCTTTTGCCTCTCTTTAACTACCTTTAGCCAAAGACAAGTATGATGGATCTACCCAAGCTTTTATTTATAAAAGCACTTTCCAAGTTTCTATGGTTAAAAAAAAAAGATGATTGCAGGACATCAAAATGGTTTAAATGTTTGTTTAATAAAAACTTTTTTTAAAAAAATGGTTTAAAAATACAGAATTAGATGATGGCATTACTCTGCAATGAGGGTGGAAGATTTTAACCTTGGGATAATTTGCACACCCCTACGTGCTTCTAAGAATCTTTGCATTCTGGATATTATCTAGATCTAGTTGTACTTTTTCTCCACTGGTTATTTGCAGGAGAAAAATAGTGAACATTATAAAGAGCAATGAGCACTTTTTCTGCCCACTTTTTCAGGCTTATGTGATTGGAAGGAGGCAAAAACGAGTTTAGAATGGACATAGCAACATTCTGAGCTACTGGCCAACTCTCTCTCTCTGCGATAGAGAGTGGGAAGCTTTTTGAATTTGTATTCTCTAGCCCCCAACTGGATCTTAGTTCATTTTAAACTCATCTCTTTATTTTGTTGGCTCCCCACTACTACCACCAAACTATTATTTTTGGAGTGCTACTGTGGGATGAATAGACTCCTTTACATATTTTTCCAATATTCTCTTGGGTTGGAAGGAATAAAAATCTGTGTATGTTAATATGCATGAACATATAATCTATACTTCCTGATAATATGATATTTTTTATATTTATGTAAGTCTAAACATATAGTGGAATCACAAGTGAACATTTTGTGAAGTTTATCTGAGTCTTCTTTCAACTTGTCATTTTTTATTTTTCTTATCACACAACTGTTTTTATACAAAAACTGTTCTGTTGCTCACTTAAGCAGTTATTACAGTTTTCCTGCCATTTACTAGAATAGCTTTCGATATATGAGTTTTAGAAGTCAATCAAATTTTGAAATGTAGTAATTTTTTCAAATGTTTGAATAAACGATAAGCTAAAATAAAAGGCAGACATGAATTCCAATACGATTACTTCCATTTTGTTTAGATCATTCAAGCTGAGGTAAATTAAGAAAAACCTTAGCATATATGGCCATTACTTTGGCCCATTAATATAGTATGCTGGAAATAAAAAGATATTTCATCATAGTATTTCATCATAACTGATTTTTCTGTTGACAGCTCAATATCCTATGAGAATAAAATGATTACTATGAATCCAATTGCTAGTAACCATATGTAGCGGAAGCAAAATATTAACAAGCAACTTTCCTGGATTGTATATATGCATACATTTTGACTGATTAATGTCAATGGATTAATGTCAATGTACAATATGCAGTTTTAAAATGTGAAAAGTCTAATTCGTTCTTCCTTTCCTTGTTTAATAAGATTAACAGATAGCAGGTGACTCGACCTCAGAGTTCTTATTTACTGTACATTTTGGAAAATTAGTCTATTTTCTAGAATTATCTAAAACAATCCGTAGCATTAATTTACGGTGTGTAAATGTGCACGTAAATACACTAGTACTAAAATATTTAGTTTTTTTAATAGTATGGCTAAGAGAACATGTATCTTTTATGTCTTGGATTGCTTAAGTGGTAGTTTAAATATATATATATTCTAATATATATTTACAGTATATATATATATATATATATATATATATATATATATATATATTTACAATATATATATATATTGTAATAGTTATTACAAAACTGTTTAAGAGTTTGCTAAACACCAGTATTTGACTAGTGTTTCTGTGAGGGGTTGATTCTGCATCTCCTTGCTCTTCAATGCATCTCACTCAAGAGCTGCATCTCACTCAAGAGCTGCTATCTCAGAGAGGGTAGCACTTAGCAGATGATACCTGTATATCATGCATCTTCACAGCAAACTTTAAAAATTCAGTAAGTATGTTGCATGAGTGCAACCAATGTCTTTTCCAATTATGTTCCTAAGAATTATCTCTAGTGTTCAGCTTGTACAGTAAAATAGTTCCCCCCCCCCCAAATTTGACTTGCCTTTGACTTGACACATGTATATTTGCAACCTATTTCTTTGTATTACAGGTTTTAGGTGATTTAAGATTTACATCATGCGCGAATATAAACTAGTAGTTCTTGGTTCGGGAGGTGTTGGGAAGTCTGCATTGGTAAGTATTATTCACATCCATCTTATTGATTTATAAGCATAGGAAATTAATAAGTTGCATCTACAGTTTAGGGTCACTAAATTTCAGATGACTTCTGTGCAGAAGAATATTGTATTCTATTGTGAAATTCAATTTCTAGAATCGAATTGATTTCTAGAAAACATAATACAACAAAGTGAAGTGAAGATATGTGGGAATGACCTTGGCAAACAGGAGAAAGAGCTGGATAGCAGTCAGTTAAAAAGCAACATAGTCCAAAGAAGCCATGGGGGCATGGAAGATGTCTCAGAAGGGACCCTTTATAGTGTTTTGGACTGTAAAGACAGGGAGAAGAGATGTACGGTACTTTCAGACTTGCAATGTGGCCTTACAGTAAAGGTAAAGTTAATACTTGTGGGTGTGCTTCTTGTTTGGATTACCTTGCAACAAAATGATCTAAAATACTTTTATTCTTACATTTAGTGCTGAAAGAACTCAAGTATTGTCAGCAAGGGAGCATAGGAATTCTTAAGTTCCTTCCAAGCAAATGAAAAATTTGAAGGCTTCAGAAGCTTGTCACTTGTTTAGAACGCAAACAATTAAAAAAAATTTCCCCCCAAACTTGATTTAGATCTTTGAGAACCTTAGAATGATACTATAAATAAGTGGCTATCAGTACTTTAATCCTATGAGCATGCACATAGTAAGATCAAGTGAAAGGAGTGCTGGGGCCCTCTTTTGGTGCACATATTCTTTGTCAAACTCTGTATTGACTGGAAATGCCTACTTATCTTGCATTTTAAAAATCTAGTCATCTGAGCTACTGCAAGCATTTAGTAGTTACTTCCTAAAAATCAGATCTTTGGAAGAATTTAAACTGATCTAAAGGCAGAGTAAAGATTCCGTTTTGTTAGTGGTTAATGCATCAGGGAAGAAACTGGGAGGTCATGAGTTTTAGTCCCATTTTAGGGATGAAGCCAATAGAGTGACCTTGGACCAATCACACACACTCAGTCCTAGGAAGCAGGTAGTGGCAAACCACTTCCAAAATCTTGCCAAGAAAAGTACAGGACTATCCAGGCAGTCAATTGAAGTAAAAAAAAACCTTGGAGGTATGCACACACAGAATGAAACTAGCATTTGATTCAGATAACTTTTTAAAAATATCTTCTATAGAGTGAAAGAAAACTTAGTGTCTGAGGATGATGAAAGAACATAGAGTAATATTAACTTTGTAAATTTAAAGATTACTTTGTTTAAAAATCAAACAAACAACAGAAAGAACTTTGGCTGTTGATGATGGATTCTCTTAGGAGTATAAAGTCACCTGTTGCCTTGTTTAATTAGTTTGGAAGGTCACCTTAGATTGTAATGGGCTGATGAAGTCAGTGGAAATCTGGTAGTTTTTTATGTGTTGCAAAATGGAGCTTAATATTTCACAATGTACACTATCAGTGATCATGCCATTTGGTGTTGCAGAAAATAAAAATTGTCTTGCTTGGCAATGTAAATTTTGGGCTCAATAGTGGTTGAAGGAGAGGAGTGTATGCAGAAATTTAAAATGTCCTAGACTAAAGCAATGTGAGTTACATTGTCTATTAGAATGCAGCAAGGGATATACGAGCTGCAGTGGCACAGTGGTTAGTGTGCAGTACTTCAGGCTACTTCTGCTGATCATCGGCTGCCAGCAGTTTGGCAGATGGAATCTCACTAGGCTCAAGGTTGACTCAGCCTTCCATCCTTCTAAGGTTGGTAAAATGAGGACCCAGATTGTTGGTGGTAATATGCTGACTCTGTAAACCGCTTAGAGAGGGCTGTAAAGCACTACCCTGTTTCCCCTAAAATAAGACATCCCCTGATAATAAGCCCAATTGGGTTTTTGAGTGCATGCACTAAAATAAGCCCCCCCTGAAAATAAGCCCTCCCGAAAATATTTAAATGCATGCGCAGCTGGTCCCCACCATTTCCTCTGCTTTCCTCCATGCGCCCCAAAATAATAAGATCTCCCCGAAAATAAGGCCAACTGCTTATTTCAGGGTTCAAAAAAATATAAGACAGGGTCTTATTTTCAGGGAAACACGGTATGAAGCAGTATATAAGTCTAAGTGCTATTGCCATTGCTATATACAGGTAGTCCTTCCTTAATGACACTAATTGGGACCAGAATTTCCATTGCTAAATTGTACTGTTGATAGGCAAAATATAACTGCACACTTAGTGATGGCAGCTTTGTTAGTCTTGCTTGTGGAACTACACCCGCATTATTTTTAGGCAAGGACCTCATGCTTCTCCTGCCCTATGCAGAAGACCTGGTATGGCCAGCAACTTTCTCATGAAAGACCAAGCTGGGCTTGCTTTATCAGCACTGGGAAGAAGATGATAGTGAAAGTTAGTGGAAGGCAAGTGGCAGAGGGTGGAGGTGGGCAGAGAGAACAAAAAGAGTAAAGATGGGAGGAGGTAGGTGGGTGGGGGAGTTGAAGCATATTCCTGCAATTGTAAATGAAGGCAGGTTACCAATGCCCAAATTTTGATCCCAAGACGGGGGGCACTGCAGTAGCCATAACTTTGAGGACTTGTCGTAAGTACCATTTGTTCAATGCTGTCATTACTTCAGTCAATGAATGGTCATTAAGAAACAAGTACCTATAAATTGGTTATAGAAGGTCTATATGCCCCCTTTAAAATGCCATGTTTGTGAGATGTAAAAAAGTCAGACCAAGTTAAATCACTTCATATTTTTTTCAACTTTTAATATAACATATAAGCGGTACAATTTAGTTAAAAAACAAATTGTAATCTTTCAGGGGGGAAATAACAAAAAACAATCGATGTGATTGTCTAAGAGTGCCCACCCATAAACTAATGATTTGTTGAAGTATCTTTTGATTCTATGACAGCATTCAGTTTTTTGGAGTAGGAGCCTATCAGCGTAGCACATTTTGCCTTGGGAATCTTTTCCTTGCAAAAGCACTCTAAATCTGTCAAGGGCATTTCCTGTGCACAGCTCTCTTCAGGTCACCCCACAGATTTTCAATTGGATTTGGGTCCAGTCTCTGGCTGGACCATTCCAAAACATTGATCTTCTGATGAAACCATTTTTTTGTTGATTTGGAAGTATGCTTTTGGTCATTGTGTTGAAAGGTGAAATTCCTCTTCAGCATTTTAGCAGAGGTCTGAAGGTTTTGCGTCAAAATTCACTGATATTTGACACTGTTCATAATTCCCTTCACCTTGACTAAAGCCTCAGTTCCAGCTGAAGAAAAGCAGACTCAAAGCATAATCCTGCCACTACCATACTTCCCTGTGGTATACTTTTGGTGATGTGTAGTTTTGTTTTTGCAGCAAACATATTTTTTGCAATTAATGACCAAAATGTTCAACCTTGGTCTCATCAAACCATAACACGCTTTCCCACATTGTTTTGTCAGAATTGATGTAGGTTTTGTAAAATGTAGCCAGGCTTGGATGTTTTTCTTTGTAAGAAAAGGCTTCCATCTTGCCACTCTATCCCACAGCCCAGACACATGAAGAATACAGGAGATTGTTGTCACATGTAGTATATAACCAGAAATTCCTGCAACTACTTTAATGTTGACGTAGGCCTCTTGGCAACCTCTGAGACCAGTTTTCTTCTAGTTTTTAGAGGTACATCTAGTTCTTGATAATGTCACTGTTGTGCCATATTTTCTCCACTTCTTAATGACTGTCTTCATTGTGTTCCATGATATATCCAATGCCCTGGAAAATTTTTGTACCCTTCTCCTGACTGATATCTTCCAATAATGAGATCCCTTTGATGTTTCTTTGCAGACCATGGCTTTTGCTATAAATGTCACTACAATAGCTGAACTTTATATGGGCTTGATCACAGTTACTTTAATTGATGGCAAATGTGTACTGAGTACTATTTAACATCAGTTTGAATGTGATTGGTTAATTCTGAACACAGCACATTCTTATACGAGGGTGTGCACAATTATGCAACCATGTTATTATATGTTTTTGATTCTTATTTTAACCCCTAAAAGAATTCAGTTTATTTTTCAATTGAATTGTACAGCTTAAAAGTGACATTAAAGGTGGAAAAAATTCTGAAGTGATTTATCTTGGTCTGATTTTTATGCATCTCAAAAACCTGGCATTTTTACAGGGGCATATAGATCTTCTATAACCACTGTATAAGTACTTCTTGTTTAATTACCATTCATTGACTGAAGTTATGACAGCTTTGAATAAATGGTGGCTTTAACAGGAGGTCCACCATATGTAAAATGGTGGAACATTTGTAAAACTGAATGTACAAACAACTGCAACACTGGAAATTCACTGACTTAGAAGGGTGTGCGGTAAAAGCATAAATGACATAACTGAAATTCTGAATTTTCTTTTCACCTACTTAAATATTAACATTTGCTTAGATTTTCTTCCTTTTTTACAATGCTTGAATAAAGAATATGGCTTCAGTTTCAGTATCTTTATGAATATGTTAATTTTATAATTTGTAGGTATGTGTAATTTGTAGGTATGTGAATTTTGGTATTCCCTGAATTTTAAATAGAAATATGATTATAATAAAGGTGATTTTAGCAGGACAAATTATTTAAAGATGAGGAGTCGTTTGAAGCATTGCTTATAATTCAGTATGAGTATAAATTAGTGACCCAATGTTCTAAGTCAACTGCTTAAAACAACTGACAGTAACTTATGGCTTTATTTGTCCTGAAATGTTTATGAACTTTCCAGTCTTTGAAGTATTGTTTAAGAAATTTCAAACAAACTCTGTGTATCTGTGTACACACTGCCTTTTATTGTAGACTGTACAGTTCGTTCAAGGAATATTTGTTGAAAAATATGATCCAACGATAGAAGATTCCTACAGAAAGGTATGTGCGTTTTTTTTAAATTATAAATTTACTTACTATTAAGAAAAATAGTCTTAGTACTTAAAAGAAGTAAGCATGATGGAGTAATAAAGAGGCATGTGGAGTTCAAAGGCTTTTGATCGAAAGAATTGGGTGTAAAGAAATGGGAGTTCAAGAAAAACTAGGAAATTGCTATTAGAAATTCATAATGCTGGACAAAGTATAAGAAAAGAAAAGAATAAGACAATCTGCAACAAGACGAATGGACTTGATTACAGTAGCAGTAATTTTGCTGTCATATTACATAAACCTTTACATGTTAACAATTTGCCAACTTCTTTGAACATGCCAAGAGCAAACCTCCATGCATTGTGGATATATTTAATAAGGCATCAAGCAACTATTTATGCTTCAGTAAAAATTTGCTTCTGTTCTTTTGACAGCAAGTTGAAGTAGACGCACAACAATGTATGCTTGAAATCCTAGACACAGCAGGAACGGTATGTAAAATGATGCTACTGTACAACTTTATGAAATAAAATGGGAGACTTTCATAATAAGATTTTGCCACTTTTTCTGATTTCAGATAGCATGTAACTTAAGAAAACACAAATTATTCTTATCTGTTATTTAGTTAGAAGCATACAAACAATACAAGCATTGTATGCTACATACGAGCATTCCTGGAAAATAAGACTAATTTCAAGAGGAAAGAGAAAATGTGAGGTGTAAAGTATAGCAAATTATATTTTCAGTTTAGAAAGGTGATTGGATTGGCATTTAAAATTTCAGTTGCACTAGTATTTTGATATTTGATACCCATTTAAAAAGAGTTCAGATATTACATAGAATGTTAGCATTTGACTACTATCCTTTGCATCAGTCACGTTTCCCAGACTGGTCCAAGGAATTGGAGAAATCCTTGGTACACTGGCAATAGCTTAATATATTATTTCTGTATTCCTGGGTACATATAAGTGTTATCTATGTAAAGTACAGCAATGATGTTAAATTTGGTATTGTTTCTACCTAGTTAGGCAACTAGAGTTCTTAAGAAATAATTATCTTTGAAGAAAAAGCATTCAAAAGTTGAATGATTTGAAAGAAATGCCATGTGCAGTTTGAACAAGGGGCAGGTGCAGCCTCAGGAAGAAGGCCAGGTGCAGCCAGCAGGTGACTCATGAAAAGCCAGGCCGATCACACATCAGCAGCAGCGGGAGGAAGAAGAGACAGTGAAGGTCATCTGGGATAACTACAGTGCCAGACTGGGGCTTCCTGAGGCAATTGCAGCTTTGTACTGTGCTGCTAGGGTTTCCTGGGATGGCTGCGTTTCATGCTAAGGACCTGGGCTGGGACTTTCTAGGGCAGCTACAACTTTGCCCCACACTCCTGGGTGACTATGCTTCATCCTGCAGGGCTGGGCTTTCTAAGGTGACTGCAGGTTTGCACCAGGCTCCTGGAGCAACTGCCTTTCATGCTGCAGGCCTAGGGCTTCCTGGAATGACTATTTACGTTGCAGTCAGTGGTGAAATGCAAATTTTTTTTTGCTATTGATTCTGTGGGTGTGGTTTGATGGGTGTGGCTTGGTGGTGGGGTCATGTGACTGGGTGGGCATGGCCAGCCTTTTTTTTTTAAATAAAGCATTGTTTACTACCTATTCGCCCGAACCAGTAGTAAAAAAATGCTTTAAAAAAGTTTTTTTTAAAAGGTTCCAACGATCACAGCTGTGCCACGCGATCGTCAGAACCTTTTTTTTTTTACTTTTTTAAAGCATTTTTTTACTACATATTTGCCCAAACTGGTAGTAAAAAAAATGCTTTAAAACAGTTAAAAAAAAAAAAAAGGTTCCGACGATGGCACGGCACAGCTGTGAACGTTGGAACCTTTTTAAAAACTTTTTAAAGCATTTTTAAACTACCGGTTCGCCCAAACCAGTAGTTTTTTATCACTACCGGTTCGCTTGAACCGGAGCAAACTGGTAGCATTTCACCCCTGGTTGCAGTATTGAGACACATGACCCCGGGACACTGTAGTCATCATAATATGAATCAGTTGCCAAGCATACAAATTTTTATCATTTTTTATTATTTTTTATTGTGCAGTGGTTGTAAGTGTGAAAAATGGTCATAAGTTACCTTTTCAGTTGTTGTAACTTTGAACAGTCACTAAATGAATTTAGACAAGGGTTACCTATAAAAAGTATATGAACAATAGTTGCTTATGTTTGTAATATTGATATAAAAGGAAAATACTTATAACAAGTCAGTTTGACTTTCCAAACAGGCCAGTTTTGAATTCTCCATTTCTCTTTGTATTACAGGAACAATTTACAGCAATGAGAGACCTCTACATGAAAAATGGTCAAGGATTTGCTTTAGTTTATTCCATCACAGCACAATCCACATTTAATGATTTGCAGGATCTACGAGAACAAATTCTTCGAGTCAAAGACACTGATGATGTAAGTAACTTATTTTTTTCCTTTTGCATGAAGATGGATGTAAAGAATGTATTAAGTAGTTCCCTTTTTTCCCTGCTACCTGTCACCTTGCTGATTTCTCCCATTGGTGGACTGATTGTTTCCTTGACTTTTTTCTTGTTTTATATATGTGGAAAGAAACTTTTAAAACTATCTTTGGCATTTGTTGCAAGTCTTAGTTCATTCTGAATCTTATTTAAAGTGTAGTGCTCCCTCCAGTTCTTGAATGGGAGGCTGTTTGAAAGTAGGGACACCTATAGGAAATACGCACCTTAGAGATCCCACCAAATAACAGCATATCAGGGAAGAGACCTGAGCATTCTCACCCTATCTAACGTGTTGGAGTGGGCATCCTCAGGGAGAGGCAGTGATTTTGTGCCATGTGATGCTTTAAAGATGCACCTTGAATTGTACTCAGAAAGCAACTAAAAGTCAGGACAGCTTGCACAGCAATGGTGTAGATAAACAGTGGGACACTCAGAACTGCTCACTGCTACCTGTTTTAGTTTGCAGGTAGTCTTCAATCTTGTGTCAGCAGATTACCAAAAATTATATGCTGGGTTATTAAAACCTTCTCCATATTAACAATTAACATTCTTTGCAGAAAGATATTACAATGTTTTAAAATTACATTGCATCAGAATTTTCAAATGAATTTTAAAATGACTAAAATAGCCTAGAATATACATAAAAATGGAATAATTGTAGCAAATTGCATTTTTCTGTAACACTATTCATTGAACAAATGCATCTATTTATCTGGAACATTAATTACCATAAGAACAGAAAACAAAATCTAAAACTTGAAAACTACAGTGGAAAGTTCTGTAATATATTTGACTTGTAATTTGGTGAAGTAGGTACTTTACATGCATGCATAAATACATATCCATATGCAAAGCACAGAAAGTGAATAAGAAATAGCAAGAAATTAAAAGCAAATAAGAAAAGGAAATATTGTATTTATACCTAATTCAAATATTTAACTACAATTTTTTATCTTTGCTTCCAGCACAAGCATTTATCACTTCATAATTTTTCTTTTGTTCTTTATAATTCTAATCTATTTTGAGAATCTCATCCACTCCATCAATATTTCTTGTATTTCTTTCCTTGCAATCCCTTCATAATCATCCTGGGTTGTGCAAGTAGTTCCAAAATCCTGCATGTATGCTTTTTTCTGCATCTCTGATTACGTGCACAAAATGGTTGCTGAGTAAATTTGGGTTTACATAAACTAACTTGCATAACATATGTTTGTTTGTTTTGAGATTCAGTTGTTACCCATTCTGTCTGAATAGACCAACTCAACCTCCTCCTTTTGTACTAGTTGCTCACTTATGTGTTCAGGCCCCATCCAGCTTCATTCATTCTTGACTCTTGTTTATATCCTCCTTTCAACCCATGATTTCCCACCATTTTTAAATAAGAAATTGTTCCAAATTTCTCATGATTTGGATAATCAAACTTTAATTTCTTTCCCCGTTAAGATCGAAATATGTCAAAATGCCTTAAATTCCTTGAAATGTCAAAAGATTCCTATTGCAGTAAAAGCACAAATTTGCCAGGAGGTATTAAATAATAACGATCAAATTGAGGTCACAATAGGATATATTCACTCATAATCTTTCCATTGCTACAGTTAATAAATATGTCCAATGACATACATTAAAATCAAGAAAATTGAAAACACAACTTTTCAACTTCATTGAAAGAAAAATAAGAGATAACTTTAATTGTCATTACTGTGAGCATCACTGTAACAGTTCAAGAACCTAACATCTACTATAATCTTTACTGTTTAATTCTCAAATAGTTTATTTTTAAAATGTATTTAATTGCTTTATAATGCCCATTTCTAATAGCCATTCAGTAAATCATGTATCATTTTAATGCATATACATTGTTTTTTACCATTTTAGGTTCCAATGATTCTGGTTGGCAATAAGTGCGACTTGGAAGATGAACGAGTTGTGGGAAAGGAACAAGGACAAAATTTAGCAAGGCAGTGGAATAATTGTGCATTTTTAGAATCTTCTGCAAAATCAAAGATAAATGTTAATGAGGTAAAGAGAATAAAGTATAATATTTTTATTCGTCCAAGGCCCATCTCTTCATTATTAACAGTATTTGTGAGTGTTAATGGCCATATATTCCTTTCTAATTTAAAATGTAAGATTTTTTTCTTTCAAAATGATGGCTAATTCAGTGAGCTTTGTTAATCATTAAATTTAGTAATACTTACAATAAGTGAAGACTGGGAATTTGGTTAAACAGCACAATGAAGTAGTTATTTAATACCGTGCTTTTAGTCCATGCCCTTTTTAGAAGTTTAAAATAAAGACTTGTGTTTATGAATGAATGAGAGAGAAATCACTTTTGCCTAGTCTGTTTTAGCTGGAATGAATATTTGAAAAGAATACAATTGATGACTAAATATCTTGAAAATAAATTTCTCAAATAAGTATTATCGTAATACAGTGCTATATAATTTTATAGTAGGTTTATTCCCTTGTGCAGCACATGGGATTTCATAGTTGTGCAAGTGGTGCATTGCAGTGTATTTTCATAGTAAATAAGGAGAATAAATGAGGAAGACAGTATGTCCCTATTTCACTATAACAGAAATTTTAAAATATTACATAAGTAAAATGGGACTGCTGCTAAGGCTAATCAGGATTCAGTTTAATGCATTACAACAGCGTTCCCCAACCTTTCATGGTTGGTAGCCCGGTATGGGGGCAGGAAGGGGGGAGAGGTGATGGTTATGTGTGAGAGGCAGGCACGCATGCACATACAGTTTTATTTGTGTGAGCAGTGGGCATGCACACACACTACTCAGGTGAGTGAGGCTGCGAACACCAACACCCACCGCCCGCACAAGTGGGGCTGTAAGTGCCGGTTCCTGCTATTTGCATGAATCAGGCTGTTTGCGCGCACACCAACCTACCACTATCGTGGCCCGGTTGTGAATAGGCCACGGCCCAGTAGTGAATAGGCCACAGATTGGGGACCCCTGCATTACAAGATATGTATAGCAGGATTTAACTTCTATATTAAATGAAATGAATTCTTCTTTACAGATCTTTTATGACCTTGTGCGACAAATTAACAGAAAAACTCCTGTGCCTGGAAAAGCACGCAAAAAGTCATCATGTCAGTTACTTTAATACATGTATGTACTGTAGCACTGAGCCAGGTAAGATTGCAAGTGGAGCATAGCCTACTATAAAAGTTACTTCTAGTGGTAAATTATAAAATAGTCTATCGATTTCTTTAAGTGCTTCTTCTTCTTTTTTTTTAATTTGATTTATATGCCGCCCTTCTCTGGAGACTCAGGGCGGCTTACAATGCGTTAAGCAATAGCCTTCATACTTTTGTAAATTTATACAAAGTCAGCTTATTGCCCCCACAAACTGGGTCCTCAATTTACCTACCTTAGAAAGGATGAAAGGCTGAGTCAACCTTGAGCGTGGCGAGATTCGATCTTACTTTAATTGCAGACAGCTGGTGTTAATCACAATGCAATCAGTCTGCTGAGCCACCAGGCCCTTCTTGAAGTATTTGTGATCATTTAAATAATATGAATCCCTTACATATAGTGGAAATTGTACACTGTTTATAGAAGATCTTGGATCCAAATGTCCCGCCATTCAAATGCAAAAGAAAAGCTTTAATTAATATAATGTCCTTCATGCAACAGAAACTTGGTAGAGCTCCATGCTGTTCCATTAGGTCCTTGGAGCAGTTTTTCAATAATAGAGAATTATGCTTTGATATGTGGGCTATAAAAGTCTTATTACATTCCAATAACTGTCTGAAAAGAGAACTGAAATAATAATAATAACCTGGTTAGTTGCTGCAAGAAGATTGCACAGACTTATTACAAACAACAGCATAACAAGAGCTATAATTGCACTCAACAATGAACTAAAGGGCCACCATCAGTGAGCTGTTGAACAGCATTACTTGGTCTGCTGTGTGGATGCTTGGGTGGTTTAGGGGTTGGGAATTTTTGGTGGGTGGGGATGTGTCTGGAGATTGTTATGTGTGTTGGGCTTGGTCTCTGGGTGTTATGTGAATTTCGTTGTATGGGTATACTGTGTATATACGTACAGTGACAATAAATAAAATTTATAACAAAGTAGCAATTATAGGGCATTTGAAGATCTGTAAGAAATACCATTTGCTTGCAAGCAAGAACTGGTACGAAATAAAATACAAACAGTCAGAGAAGATAAAGAAGCTAAAGTGCTCTGGGACTTTAGAATTCAAATCGACAGGCAACTGCCACATAATACCCCCGACTTAACAATTGTTGATAAGAAGGACAAATACCGCATTTTTCAGAGTATAAGACACACCAGAGTATATGATGCAGCTTAGTTTTTGGGGAGGAAAATAGGAAAAAAAAAATCTGCCTACCAGGTATTCATCTGGCTAGCGTCCTTAGTCTGGTCAGCTTCAGCACATTAGTTTGCTGGTTTTGAGCGCGCACACTTTTTATCCCCTGCTTGGGGATAAAAAACAGCTTCTAAAGCACAGCTGATCTTTGGAGAGAGAAGAAATGAGAAAAGCAGGTGAAGTTCAGAAGATCGCGTCACTCGCTAGCGCCTCGTTAGGGCTGAAAAACAGCTAAAGCACAGCTGAGAAGAAGCAGCAATGAGAAAAGCAGGCAGAATACTTGCTTCACTTGCTAGCGCATCGTTAGGGCTGAAAAAAAGCTTCGAAAAAGCTACATTCGGAGTATAAGACACACCCAAATTTTCAGCCTCTTTGGGGGGGGGAGTGCATCTTATACTCTGAAAAATATGATAAATCTGGATAGAGGTCATGGCAGTACCTGGAAACAGCAGAATAAAGAGAAAGAACTGGAGAAGGTAATACAAAAACCAGAAATAGAACAACTATGGCAAAAGAAAGCAAAGATAGTACCTGTAATAATAGGCAACTTCATTGCAATTCCAAAGCAGCTGGAACATCACTTCAATACCACAGGCATTGACAAATTCACCATCAGTCAAGGGAGCTTTACTCGGAACAGCTTACATTGCAATGGTACCTCTAACTTCATCGGACATGAACCTCTGCCTATCTCATGTCCTTAGGAAGGATTTGATAGGTGGATGAAAATGCCAAATCCAATATGAACATTTGGCTGCCTGCACAAACCATGTAAACTAATACGTAGAATTAGCAAGATGGCACATCTTGTTTTCTAGTATCTAATAATCAAGAACAGTGAAAACAGTTGGGCCAAGAGGGGGGGGGTCCCTCTTGTTGAAATGTGCCCACCAGGTTTCCGCGCATTCCATCAGCCGAGGTTGCAGGGTAGGGGCGGGGGGGTAGCGGTTATTATTAACGAAGGTCTGAGACCGAGGGAGGCCACTGTTCCTCAGACGGCCGGCTGTGAATCCCTCCTTGTGAAATGGGGCCACGGGGTTCAGATGGGTTTGCTGATCACATACCTGGCTCCCTGCCATGTGGCAGCAGCCCTGCCTGAGCTACTCAGTGTCATCGCCACGGTGGCGGTTGAGACCCCTAGGCTTATGGTCATGGGGGATTTCAACTTGCCGTCCGTTGGTGAGGCATCTGAGGTGGCTCGGGAGTTCATGGCTTCCATGACAGCCATGGACTTGACCCAGTTAATTCATGATCCTACCCACACGGGGGGAAACACGCTGGATCTGGTTTTTGTCTCTGGACAGTGGTTGAGTGATCTCGAGATAGGGGATATAGTCACCGAGCCCTTGTCATGGTCTGATCACTCTCTCCTTCGTCTCGACCTTCGAACCGCTACACCCCGCCGCAGGGAGGCGGAGCCGGTAAGATGGTTCCGCCCCAGGCGCCTGATGGAACCGGATAGGTTCCAGATGGAGCTTGGGCCATTCCCTGAGGCTCTGGCACACGCCTCGACTGGAGACCTAGTGGCCGCCTGGGATAGGGCAGCCGCTGGAGCTCTGGATCGGGTCGTGCCTTTGCGGCCTCTGACCCGGCGCCGATCTCATTTAGCTCCTTGGTTCACTGAGGAGCTGAGGGAGTTGAAGCGCCAGAAAAGACGCCTAGAGAGTAGTTGGAGGGCCAGTCTTTCTGAATCTGACCGGACACTGGTAAGAGCTCATATTAGGAATTACCTAGTGGCGATAAAAGCAGCGAAATGTAGCTATTTTGCTGCTCTTATTGCGTCATCAGATAATCGCCCGGCCGCCCTGTTTAGGGTGACCCGCTCCCTGCTCCACCAGGAAGCGCGGGAGGACCCCTTGGAGGGTAGAGCCGAGGATTTTGTCCAATATCTGTATGACAAAATCGCTCAGATTCGGGAAGATCTGGACTCCGACTGGATAGTCTCAGGGGGAGGGACTGGGGCAGGTCTTGAGAATGTTATCTGGGATGAGTTTGATCCTGTGACCCCTGAGGACGTGGACAGGATTCTGGGTAGACTGAACGCGACCACTTGTTTATTGGACCCGTGTCCCTCCTGGTTAGTGCTGGCTTCTCGGGAGGTGACACGAGGCTGGTTCCAGGGGATTATAAATGCTTCGCTGAGTGAGGGTGTCTTTCCTGCCGCCTTGAAAGAGGCGGTGGTGAGGCCTCTCCTCAAGAAGCCTTCCCTGGACCCGGCAATGTTGGTAAATTATCGTCCGGTCTCCAACCTTCGTTTTGTGGCAAAGGTTGTTGAGAGTGTGGTTGCGCAACAGCTTCCCCAGCACCTGGATGAAACGACGTATCTGGATCCGTTCCAGTCGGGCTTCAGGCCCGGGTACAGCACGGAAACGGCATTGGTCGCATTGGTTGATGATCTCTGGAGGGCTCGGGACAGGGGGTGCTCCTCTGTCCTGGTCCTGTTAGATCTCTCAGCGGCTTTTGATACCATCGACCATGGTATCATGCTGCACCGGTTGGAAGAGTTAGGGATGGGAGGCACTGTGTTGCGGTGGTTCTCCTCGTTTCTCTCTGACCGGTCGCAGTCCGTGTTGACAGGGGGACAGAGGTCGACCCCGAGGCCCCTCATATGTGGGGTGCCGCAAGGGTCGGTCCTCTCACCTCTCCTGTTCAACATTTATGTGAAGCCGCTGGGCGAGATCATCCGTGGTTTCGGGGTGGAGTACCATCAGTACGCTGATGACACCCAGCTGTACATCTCCACCCCGGATCACCCCAACGATGCCCTTGAAGTGATGTCCCGGTGCCTGGAGGCCGTACGGATCTGGATGGGGAGGAACAGGCTCAGGCTCAACCCATCCAAGACCGAGTGGCTGTGGTTTCCGACGTCCCGATATAGCCAGTTGACGCCATCACTGACTATTGGGGGCGAATCATTGGCCCCCACGGAGAGGGCTCGCAACTTGGGTGTCCTCCTGGATTCACGGCTGTCTTTAGAAGAGCACTTGACGGCCATGACCGGGAGGATTTTTTATCAGGTCCGCCTGATTCGCCAGTTGCGTCCCTTTCTGGATCGGGACTCGTTACGCACGGTCACTCATGCCCTCGTCACCTCCCGCCTGGACTATTGTAATGCTCTCTACATGGGGCTCCCCTTGAGGACCACCCGGAGGCTCCAACTGGCGCAGAGTGCGGCCGTGCGGGTGGTAATGGGAGCGACATGGCGCTCCCATGTAACACCTCTCCTGCGCGAGCTGCACTGGCTCCCGGTGGTCTTCCGGGTGCGCTTCAAGGTTTTGGTTACCACCTTTAAAGCGCTCCATGGCTTAGGGCCTGGTTATTTACGGGACCGCCTACTACCACCAATAGCCTCCCACCGGCCAGTACGCTCTCATAGAGAGGGACTCCTCCGGGTGCCATCAGCCAAACAGTGTCGACTGGCGGCCCCTAGGGGGAGAGCCTTCTCTGTGGGGGCACCTACCATCTGGAATGAGCTCCCCCCGGAGATACGGAGGATCCCGGATCTGCGCTCCTTCCGCCGTGCTGTGAAGACCTTTTTATTCCATCAAGCGGGCTTGGCCTGATCTCTTCCCTTTTTAAAATATGTAAATTTTAATCTGTTTTTAAATTATTGGGGTATTTTAATTTGTCTGGGCCAAAAAGTTTAATTTGATTTTATCGGGTTTTTAAATTTTGTGTATTTATGTATTTTATTGTTGGCTGTTCACCGCCCTGAGTCCTTCGGGAGTAGGGCGGTATACAAATCAAATAAATAAATAAAAATAAAAATAAAATCTGTTTTGGAATGCATTCGCAGAATCACCATATCTATAACCATAAATGTTTAAATACCAGTACAGATATTGTCTATCACTATAAATAAATATTTAAGTAAATTAAAAACAAAAAAAATATAGGAATCACTTTTGAGTAGAATCTCACATTGTGTGGTATTCAGAAGGCCATGTTTGAAAAATGGTAGGTTCTGGTAAGAGCAAGGAGGGTAACTTTTTGTATGCCAATTTCTTTCATCAGCCAAATTGATTGTATTTGTATACATGTATACTTTAAAATATAAAATATATTAAATATATATTTTTGTTTTAAAAAAATCCAGCACTAAGTGAGCTAAGCACACTTCAGTAGATTAAGTTATATGAACCCTCAGAACCTGTCCTATTTCCTTATGTTGGCAAGCTAGCACAAAAGAAGTGTATTGAGCTACAAGATTTTAAAGATATTCTTGTCTTGTCATTCATTTCAGTATTCTCTAAATCAGGTTATTGTTCCATATTCCAAATGCTGGACCATTGAAAACTTGTGGGTACTACTAGTTTTCCCCAGTGAATAAAGGCACCTCCAAAATAAGGATAATCTCATAATCATAAAAGGTTTTGGCTCACAGATTAGCCTTCTAGAAACACTCTGGTTTGGAAACAGGCCTGTTATAAACTCAGAATCTTCAGAATGTCCCATTTTAGTGCTGGAATAATCCATTAAGGAACACTCCACCAAAGTTATATCAAACCTCAAGTAATACTTATAAACTGTGGGTTTCTATATTGTGGGACTAAGCTGATTTTTTTTCATAATTAAATTAGTTTAAAACATCCATTTCTAATTAATTCATTTTTATTGATCAGTTCATTTTTATTGCTCATAATGAATAAAGTACATCCTAAGAATTACTTAATTTTCAAAATGTGCTACCTGTTTTGAATGCTTCAAAGTATACTAAAGCTTGGTGAAAATACAGTACTAAAAAGTATAATTTGAAGTGAATCTCACATTGATGTTATTTCCATTTTACACACCTCTAATGGTAAAACCACTTGGATTTAAATACTTTGGGAATTTTCCTGGGCCTGTTTCTTTAATTTCATCCTTTTAAAAAAAAATCCATCTATTTGATGTTCAATGAACTATAAGCATTTTCACTAAAATAATTTGCTTACCTTTGTGAGGACTTATATGAGAGAGATACCATTTTGAAATTAGGCTTCAGTAAGATGAGCAGAGACTAATGCTCAGAAAATGAGATTAGTTTCTTATTACTAAAAAATTTAGCAGCTGTAAAAGAATTAAAACACTTAACTGGGTAATATCTAGTATCATACTAGTGGACTTCACTGGAACAGAAGTACTGTACTTTTTCTCCTGTCTTTCTGCCCTCCCCCCCCAAAACAAACTCTCTAGAACAGATATTAATAATGTAAGATGTGTTGTAATGTGGAGAAGAATCCCCCTTCCTGCCTCATTTGACAAATTATTTTTGTTGATTGAAGTAGAGCAGCATTTTATTTTAAATCAGTTTACCTAGCAGTTAAATATTTAAAATCAGCTCACAATTCCTAGGTTTTATAATTATCTCCTGAAGTTTTCAAAGTTGAATAAATATTATTGTACCATGCTTGCTACATTATCTTGAAATAATAACTTCTAATTTAATCAGCAGTTGTTTGCTCTTATAGTTACAGCACAACCCAAAACAATGTTCTCATTTGGTGTTCAGTTCTTTATCTGGGCCTATTAAACTTGGAAGTGCTTACGTTCTATGCACTTTTATTCTTCTGTTAGTTAAATAAACTTCATACTATCTTCCTGTTCATTTGCTTAGGTTAGTATTTGTAGAGCTAGTGTTTGAACTTTTATCTGTTAGTGTCCACCAGCCAGTAGAAGAATGGAATCCTCATTTCCTGAATATATAGATATATGTTAAAAGATTTGGGGGTCTAAAAAAAGGGGGGGTAGGGGACAAAGAGAATCCTATAGAGGGTGAATGTGATATTAGATGTAGTCCTTCAATTTGACTTGGTAAAATATCCATCTGCTTAATTTAAATAAAAAGGATAATGTAAATAAAAAGAATTTTAAGTGCACTTTTTCATAAAATCTGTTGCCTGCAAGGAGCTCCTGCAAGTTCATGATTATTGTGGATCAGATGCTTGAGTGATTGAATTGGCTTTAATTGAAGATAAAACTAATGCTTTTGAAAATTTAAGAGCAGGAGTTCTCTTTAACTATTTAGGTAAATGTAGCAGCTAATTCTCTGTTTGCCTTTGCCGCAGGTCTGAAGAACTGTTGCCGACTACAACAGTGCCAGCATTCCAACTTTATTAAAACTACCAACATCTTAAATGGACTTTCCTGTGGTGGTACCCTTATAAAATGGATGACAGCTACATCAGTTTGCACATTCTAATCACTTTCCAGTGTCACAAGAGATTTTTATGTATACATAATCTAAGTGTATGCAACTGGTAAAACCAGAGCCTACATCCAGTATTACCAGTGAGAGACATTGTTCATCTACCAATGTTGTACATGTATGAAACCTGTACTGTATACTGCAACAAACCCCATACTTCCTATTGGAGAGTACAATAATGTAAATCATAAAAGCACCACTATTTTAGCATAATAAAAGAAAGTCCAAAGAGCTCCTATATAGACTACTCCAGATAACTTTGCTTCATTGGTATTTGTAGCTTATTGTAACTTTTTTAAAAAAAATACAGGATCATCATTGTATTGTACAAAAGCGCTTTGATTAACACAACAGCTATATAGTTTTTTAATTTTAGGATAAAAAAAAAAACCTGTGGAGACAGTGAACTAGTGTCTTTAAAATGAGTCCTTTCAGTATAATGTCTGTCTAAAGACATTGCCTTTAATATCTGTTGGGAAGGAAATGTCCAGATTTTTCAACCTTTTATCGTATGTTTCCTTTTCCTTGTTTACATAGGGAACAATGTTTATAGTTGTGTATACAGTGGGGGTCTACAACAAGAAGTGTATATTTTAAAACAATTTTTTAATGATTTAACAATTTTTTGTAAATCATTTTTGGGCTTCTGCAGCTGTAGATTCTCACTGTGAATTCCCTTGCTTGCTCATGCATAAGTGTATTTGCAATACCAAATATACAGGTTTAGTACTTTTGCCTGTTAGTGATTGTTTTACATGTGTAACGTTTTGGTTGAGATGTTAAATGGTGGACGAGTACTGTGGATGTGAATGTGGGAAGTAATTTTAATCATGTGTAATTGGTCCCAAGGCCTAAGTTGCAGTAATTACCTTTTTGCAGATTTATTTAACAATGCCTTGTTGCTTTGTATGCATTGTTTGGGTGTAAAGATTGCGTGTAAAATCCAACAGGGAGCCACAGTATTTAAATTGACAACCTAATGTTACAACTGCTTTGAGGTGGCCAAATGTAAACTAAAAGCCTTAATTAAAAGTGGTGCAATTTTGTATGACTTAGCATCAGTAGTTCAATAAATTTGGATTGCCATGCAAGGGCTTGCATTACAACTACCTGTTCTGTAACAGATTGTTTTGTGTAATGTTTTAATCTCATTAATGAAATGTTAACTTGATCCAAAGAGCAGAATTTGTTCTATAAAAAGCCTAAGTCACATTTATACATCTCCAACCTCTTTTACCATTGACCCAATTGGTAGCCCCCAACTAGTATCTCAGCTCCATAAGCACAAGCCAGTATAGCCAGTGGTGAAACATTGTAGGAACAGTAGTGTAAATATTTGAAGGATCTCCCATTGCCTATATATCTAGGATGATCATGGCTTTATACTACTAAAGGTATCTGTGATTTATTTCAATAGAAATTCTGTAGTTTGATCTGTATCCACTGAGAAATATGAATATTCCATGGCTGGTGCACTGAAGAAATCAACATAATAGATTGATTTTCTCTCTTGCCCCAGAAAGGAGAGAATGCATAACTAGAGCTTTATCATATTTGGCTCCTCATTCCTTCCGGTCATTTCCCTTCTTTCATTCTAGATAACTTTCTGTTTCTCTTAACTGTTTCTTTTGTGCCTTATCTGACTGCTTTGTTTTCTTGGACTATCCTTAGCTCTCAGGCTTTTTTGAAACTAATGGATTAAGAAGGTAGCACATCTGTGATTGTAAGACATTCATGTTTATCAGAATTCTGATTATCTGCTTCTGTATCCACCCACTTTTTTCCATGGGAAACATCACATTTCTATATATGGTTTTCTACAGAATTGCAAGAAAAATTACCTTTTTTTGACTCATGCATGCATATATTTAGATGCAGTACTAGAAATCTATACAGTACAAAAACACTTAGAAATTTGAAAAAACTTTAATTGCTAACCTGTAGAGACAAGATTTAATCTAGCTCTATAGAAGTGAACAACTTTCATAATTTTGGCACAAATCCCAGGTGCTTTGATTTCTTGCTCAGGACCTGGGTGAGAGTTAGTACAGTGGTTAAGACATCAGGCTAGAAAGAACTCAAGAGACACTGAGTTCTAGTCCTACCTTAGTCACAAAGCCAACTAGGTGACTGGACTAGTCACTTTCTCTGAGCCCTAGGAAAGAGGCAGTGGCAAACCTGAAAAATCTTGACAAGAAAACTGCAGGAACTTGTCAAGGCAAACTGCAAGAATCTGATACAATTGAATGGAAGGGGGGGGAAAGGTAAGGTATAGACCATGGTTCATCAGTTCCCTGATAAATTGACTTTTCCATGTTTATAGATGACAACTCAAAACATTACTACGGTACTTTCAAATCAAAAAGTTACTATGATGAGAAAGCAGATTTCTGTTCAAGCATTGCAGAGAATAATTGTTATCAATAATGCTATGTTCACTGTCAGAATCACTTAACGCGACACTGGGGCTTTACATAATACACTTGGGAACTTCAGAATGAATGTGATACCAAAAATATCCATCAAGCAAATCAAAGCAGGACATGATCATGGACAATTCATTCTTCCAGGATAAAATATGATATATCCTTTAAAACAATACATTTGGAGGGAATCAAATGGGAAGTTTGGTTCCTTGAGAGTCACCTAGACCTGAGAACATGAAATTTCAAACTTTATTTCCAAAACCTAAAACAAATTGCCACAGCAAAATACATTTTTAAGAGTCCAAAACGAGATTGTTGTATTACTTCTTGGCCAAGGGGGAAGGGTTTTATGCTTTTCTCCCAATTCCTTTCCTGTCACCAATCTTCAAAGACAGAAACAGTAGATGAACACGCACTAGTTCCTTATCAGGGTGATCATGATTTTTGGAAATGATATTAGCACATGATCTAATATTCTACCCATCATTTTGAATTTGAATTCACAAGATCCAGCCTATATTCCAATTTGAATTGCAATGTATACACTATAGCATCCACAATATCAGTACTTCTTTTTAATATTCCCCTTTAGAATAGGGCATTGTTGTTCCCCTTTAGAAGTGTGAAGGAGACTCAATGTCTACATTTATAAGGTAGTGAGATTAATATGTAGCTTCTTTCAAATAAAGGTTTAAAGCAGGTGGTTTCTTATTGAATTCCACTGGCTCCAAAAAAGGCCTTTCAATTTCAATTTGAATTATTCATGTTTCTAACTCATCATCCCTTTTGGTTATGTACAGTAGTTGCCTTCTGCACATGTAGCTGAGAAAGGAACACTAAATATCTTCAGTGACTACTACTTCCTGTTTGAAGAATATCCATACCTCATCTAGAAAAATCTTAGATCTTATCAGGACTGGTAATTTTTATTCTGTTTTTTTCATACTGTGATTAGGGATTCTTTTATTGTCATATTAGTTGCAACTATGCCATAAAAGGACTGGAAGGAATGAGAAGCCTGACTGACATAAAATAAAAATGCATTTTTCTGTATTGGGAAATTAATTTATTGTGTGGATGCTTCTTTCACACAAATAGGAAGCATCTTTCATAATCAGGCTATTTTTCTTTTCCAATATTGCCTTCCCATGGTAGAATGTCAAAAATGGAAAAGTTATTATCAATATTTAGGACAAAGAAAGTAGAGAAATATGCCAAAGCTTGAATTATGCTCTTGAACCGTGATGGCGAACCTATGGTACGTGTGCCAGAGGTGGCACGCAGTGCCCTCCTTGTGGGCATGCAAGCCGTCGCCCCAGCTCATCTGCTGCGCATGTGTGCTTGCCTCCCACTGGCCAGCTGGTCTTCAGGTCTCTGCTGTGCATGGAGGGGGGTGTCACATGTGGGGGGTGCATACGGGGGCGCATTGCATTTGGGGGGTTCACGCGCATATTCACACGTGCACGCTTTGGGCACTTGGTTCAGAAAAGGTTAGCCATCACTGTTCTAGAATCTAGAACATAATTCAAGCTTTGGCATATTTCTCTACTTTCTTTGCCCTAATATTGATACTTTCCTCTGCACTGAATTAGGAAGACGAAATATTGAAGATTTCCTCTGCATTGAAAAAAATAGCTTTTTCATTCTTTGCAATCATGAATTTAAAAGAAATCTTAAGATAAAATACTGAAATGTAATTGGTTCTTATAATAATAAAGATGAGCAGGACCAGAGCAACCAGAAGATTCAGACAGCATCTCCTTCACAAAAGAGACAAGCCTTCACCCACTGTCTTGGAAAAATAGAAAAAACACAGTTTTCCTGCCATAAATCTCACTCACACACAATTTAAAAGTAGAATACTCACTGGAATCCTGTCTTGTAATCTTAACCTTTTATTGAATACTGTTAATCAAGAGTTTTTATTCTTTGGAGTAATTGCTTCTAATCTAGCTGCAAGGAGGGAGAGAAAGTTACATTAACTTTCTACTATTGTATAAATACTAGCTTAATTGAGTTGTAATCATTTTAGGAAGTAATGTGTAATAGCACACAAAAATGCTCTGAGGCAGATTTTACATAGTTCATAAATCTATAATTTACTGGGGGCTTTCAAATGCTAGCAGCTGGAGGAATTACAGGATTTTGTACAGCTGATCAGACATAGAGGCAAAGCACCATTGCAGGCAAAGCAGGAAGTAAAGTCCTGGGAGAGGGTTGAGTGATAGCTATATGTAGTTATAGGATGTATAAAACTATACATCTATCCACTGCTAGATGGTATCTACTCAGAAATTTACAGCATGGTATTTAGTAGCATATCTTAAGTTATTTAGGAAGTTGTGGTATCACAATGTTTGAACATTTGTACCTTGCAATACAGAAAGATCTCAATAATCCAATTATTAACTATATCAATATTTTACCTTTGCCACAAAATATAGCACTAAGAAACAGAACAATGTTTGCATTCTCTTTTGTAATGTTATCACAAGGTTAGTATCTCCAATTTTGACTAACGAAAAATTGTGTGTGTGTGTGATTTATTATATGTAAAATTTCACAATGCTTCTGAATTCTGGACAACGAAACTTTCTTTTAGACTTAAACAATTATCATTTCTAATTTAACAATATCAATTCTATTTAATTTGTTACAATGTATCTGCCCTTAAAACACTTGAACAACAATCTGTTCAAAACATCAAACTTGTGCTGTGGATTCAGCAATTATTTTAATCTGAATAGAAGTATATGTGTATCATCACCTTTAGAGCGCTCCATGGCTTAGGACCTGGTTATCTACGGGACCGCCTGCTACCACCAATAGCCTCCCACCGACCAGTACGCTCCCATAGAGAGGGGCTCCTCCGGGTGCCGTCGGCCAAACAATGTCGACTGGCGGCCCCCAGGGGGAGAGCCTTCTCTGTGGGGGCACCTACTATCTGGAACGAGCTCCCCCCCGAGATACGGAGGATTCCGGATCTGCATACCTTCCGTCGCACGCTTAAGACGTTCCTATTCCAGCAAGCCGGCCTGACCTAAACTTCTCCTCTTTTAAATGGGAATTTTAAATTTGGTTTTAAATTATTGGGGTTTTAAATATGGTTCAGCCAAATTTATTTAACTTGTTTTATTTCTATTTTAAATTTTGTATTTATATGTTTTATTTCATGGCTGTTCACCGCCCTGAGTCCTTCAGGAGTAGGGCGGTATACAAATTTAATAAAATGTAAAAATGTAAAATGTAAAATGTGTATCACAATTAGAATTAAATTAAATTGTAGAAGGATATCTTATAAACTCTGCCATCTATTTTTGGCATTTGGATTTTACAAAATGTTTTGTGTATTCCATGTTTTATTAAAGCAGGAGGGAGCATTCCTAGTTGATCTATTTATTCTGTGAAATTTATAAGCGGCGTTTTTTAAAAAGAAGCATTATTTTGGATGGTAAATGTAACTGATACTGCTAGATTCAAATGACAAGTGTTAGCAAAAAAAAGTGCTATTTATTGCTTTCCCCTGGGAAAAGGCTGAAATGATCTTTTTAACAGACTATATACACAATTTCTATGAAATACTTGCTACATACTGGTACTATTATACCTATTACCATATTTCCATATGCAAGCTGAGCTTGTCGATCAGAAAGTTCGGCAGTTCAAATCCGTAGTACAGGTCTCTGTGTGAGCAGGGGGCTGGACTAGATGACCTCCAAAGTTCCTTCCAACTCTGTTACTATTAAAAGCTGCTATATTTTAAATTCGATTATTTTATTTTTGTCTTCATGTTAACCTTTAAGCAATTTATTCATTTAAAGAATTATTTGAACTGTGATATCTGAAGCAAGACTAATAAATAAGGAGCATGTACAGGTAGTCCTCAACTTACAACAGTTCAATAGTGATTGTTCAAAGTTACAACGGCACTGAAAAAAATGAGTTACGACCGTTTTTCACACTTACAACCATTACAGCATCACCATGATCATGTGATCAAAATTCAGACACTTGGCAACTGGCTCACATTATGATGGTTGCAATGTCCCAGGGCCATGTGATTCCCTTTTGTGATCTTCTGATCAGGAAAGTCAATGGGGAAGCCAGATTCACTTAACAACCGTGTTACTAATTTAACAACTGCCATGATTCACTTAACAAATGTGGCAAGAAACATTGTAAAATGGGACAAAATTCACTTAACAAATGTCTCCCTTAGAAACAGAAATTTTGGGTTCAATTGTGGTTGTAAGTCGAGACTACCTGTATATAAATTTTAAGTAACATGATTTTATTTATAACTCATCCCTCACCCACCCACACAAGTTTTGCTTGGGCTTACAAGTAGGCATTTTATTTGGAAAAATCTAAAAACAGTAAAATAGATACATCTTAAAATTAATTAAGTTAAAATTAATTAAATAAAAATATCATACACACACAATTTTCAACCTGTTAGCATAAGAGTATCCAAACGGTACCTAGTTCATTGGGTTTGTTTCCCAGTACCTACCTAATCTGGACGGCAGAAATCTGTTAATTACATGGCTTTATAGGAAATAATATTACTTATGCTATCCTATCAGCTGGATATTTTCAGCCAAATCTGATCTCCAGTGATTTACTTTTGAATAAAATGCCAGTTTGGTTTAGTGATTAAAATATCAGGCCAGAAACTGGAAGACTGCGAGTCTCAGGTATGAAAGCCTGCTGGGTGACTTTGGTCCAGTTACTCTCTTTCAGCCCAACCCACCTCATAGGGTTGTAGTTTTGGGGAAATAAGGATGAAGAATATTATCTATGTTCGCAGTTTTGAATCATTTATAAAAGTAATAAAGGCAGGATATTTAATCCAGATTACTGCTGATAAAATCCACTCTCTCATAGTAAATTTTCCTATTATAATAAAGAATCTATCTGCACACAGACTCCAGAGATAACCACTGTTTCGGCCTCCGAATGCTGTTTCCCCAAACAGTTTAAATCTAGCGGGCGTCAAATTATCGCCTATCGCAGCAACAGGAAACAAGCAGGTGTCTGAACATCGATCGGGATGTAATCCTCCAAAGCGGTAGAGGGCGCCCTACTTGCTGATCTGAGGACAGGAACTCGATTTAACCTGCCTTTGTCAAGGCAGTTAACGGATTTATAGATTTCTTTTCCATTCTGAAACCCGGAGACATATTAGCATTCTAACGTTAGAAAAAACGTTAGGAAAAAAAAAAAGATCAACGGGCTTTTCACCAGGCGGTTAGTCTAGGACCAAAGACATCGTCGTTTCGCGGCTCCAACTCCATCCTTGCCTCTCAAGTGTGCTTCCCTTCCGGTCCCCGTTACCTAATTTCCGGAAGCGGGAACTCTCAAGTAGCGACTTGGACGGGAGGTCCGATGGCCTCAAATGCCGAAATGGACCGGTGAGGTATTTTGGCCCTAGGCAGATGATGATGAAGGTTTCTGTGGGTACCTTAAAAATGGACGTCTTTATTATCGCATACATTTATTCAACGATGATTTTGCATAATGGAGGAACAGTAGCAGATTTATTGTTGTTATTACTGGGTTTTTATTATTTAAAACCCTTGGTAAAAAGGGTTTTTTTTTACCTTTTTATATTAAACACATTAAAATTAGTGGCTGGGATTCATTTTTATTCTCAATTAATGGCATACTTTTAGTGTCCCGGGTGGTATGTGTAGCACCAGGTTTTATAAAAAACAGGAAATTGAAGTCTTGCCCCTCACCCCAAAACGATATACGGCATAGGCACCAAAAGTGCTGGACCTCCTCCCACATCATTGGGAGTTATTCCTTAGATGCTTTGCTCTTTGATAACTGGCCAGAAGGGGGGCTTTTGTCTGGTTGAAGTGCCTTCTGTGGAATTTCACATTTGTTAGATCATGCTGTGTGCTCTTTGGCAGGGATCTAAGAATAATTAATGTTTTTAACTTAAGAAAAATGTAATTCCACAGTGATTATATCTATTTTACTGTAGTGATTAAAGTGATTAAAACCTATTCCAGGATTATTTCATAGAATTAAGGTTTAAGGTTTATTTGGATTTATATACTGCCCTTCTCCCGAAGGACTCAGGGCAGTGAACAGCCAAAGATAAAACACATACAATATAAAGTTTAAAAAACAATTTAAAACATATTAAACAAATTTGGCCCATACTAATTAAAACACCCCTTTTTTAAAAAGCAAATTAAAATTAAGCAATTAAAAAGAGTTAGGCCAGCCCAGCTTGTTGGAATAAAAAAGTCTTGAGGGCACGGTGGAAAGTGCGTAAATCCGGGATCCTCCGTATCTCCGCGGGGAGCTCGTTCCAAAGGGCAGGTGCCCCCACAGAGAAGGCTTTCCCCCTGGGGGCTGCCAGTCGACATTGTTTGACCGACGGCACCCTGAGGAGCCCCTCTCTGTGGGAGCGTACATCAATTGATGATGATGATGCTTTTTTTCACCCTTTTCTAATTCAAAATTATAGCCCTGAAGGGAGCAGTGTGTATGTGTGTGCAGTGTGTAGGTGTGTGCATGTGTGTGCACAGATCCGCACAGGTATACATATGCATAAAACAAGCTCTCACACCTCATTGTCTGTATAAATCTTCACATAGACATGTGATTGATCATGAAAACTGCTTGTGTGAATGAAGAAGAGAAGACTTGCTGAGGAATACATTTAAGTCTAAATTTCCAAAATATATATTTTTTTCAATCAAAAGGAGGCAAAGCTATACATCCTATGTCTGTGAAGACAAAATATGGAGCCAAGTTCAAAATAATTTTCATTCTTACCTTTTCAGGAATGATTTTCAGAATACGTCTTCACAAGAAATGATTCAGCCAGTTCAAAAGCAAAATACTAAAAAAAAAGTTTCTAGTATCCTTTATTATAGTAGTTAACATAACTTGTATCCCATAAATGGTGTAATTTGGGAGATCCCCGTTATTTTTGTGTGCTGCAAAAATAGCATCTTTTTCTTGAAAATGAAAAAAATACACTCATATTAAAAATAGGTGCAACATTCCACATGGTTTCAATCTTTAAAATTTTTCAGTGTTTCTCCTTGTTTGGAATGTATTTTAAAATGAATTAGATGCCAAACATTTCTCACTGATTTAATCTAATACACAAACTACCACACACAATTTGTAATGAAAAAAATCATAGAATGCCTGTTGTTTTACTACACTAATTATAATGTGGCTTTCTTGATTGTGGTATTGTGTAAAATGTGAACACTTGAATTTGATTTTTCAAGTGTCCCTATTCCCAGTTAATGGAATAAGACAAGGTTTTTATTTAAAAAATAAATTTTGTGCATAGCATCATCTGGCTTGGTTGTCAGTAACTAACCAACTAGGAAAAAAATTTCATTTGCAGGACCTGATGAAAGAGGGCTCAGTTTACCAAATTTTGATAGAAGAATTTTCTATATGATGAGGCAAAATCTGATATACATTTTCTTAGCTTAGCTTCCTTTCTTAGTCTTGGCTACCCTAGATGACAGTTTAAGTGCCATGTCAACAAGAGGATTAGCAATTCCCAGGACTCCAGGACTGTTTTCTCAATCTGGTAAGATTCTTTTTATTTAATGTCTACTTATATATATTAAAAATTACAGCTAACATACAGTAAAATTCCTTTAATAAAATAGTCCTTTACATTTTCTGTATTCTACTTGTCATCCAGAATTCATTTTTTCAAAATAAAATTAAAAGTTTTAAACACAAGAGTATCTGTTTTTCAGGAAAAAAAAATCAAAAATATTTTTTTCCAGTTACTCCACGGAGCCGAAGTGCCACAAAGCAGTCAAATATATCTACCAACCTAGGCACAGAGAGGAAATCGCCTTACTTTGTGAAGATTCCTGGGCACCTTGGTAATTTGTCTGTGGTAAGAGCATACTAAACAGAAATGGACAGACTGGTGCATAACATAGTTGAACCTCTAGTTATACTTTGTAATAACCCACTATTATCACAAAATGGCAGTCTCAGAAATTGATCCACCTACATTTAACATGTTCATGGAGCTATGCATAAAGTAGCAGAGTGTGAGTCTTGCTTTTAATTTTCTTCCTGTAAGCAGTTTTGGAAAGATTGCTAGTATATAGTTCAAAAAAAAAAAATAGTACAAATGGGACCTGGAATAAGTTGTGCACTGTGTCCTTCCACCTCCAAAACCAATCAGTTTGTGACACCTGTTTTTTATTTCATCTAAGTAGGACATTCACCACATTCTTTTCTCCAAGCGATATGCTATGCTTTCTGGCTAAAGTGTATAAAGTGCAGTTTCTCCTTTCCAATGTGTCTCTAAGTTAATATGAAAAACTTTGTAAGAACTTGTTGGATCTTAACTATTTCCCAATGTAAGATATAGCAGTGTAAGAATATTTTGTGATTTTTATGAATGAGTTATTTGATTGGTAAGTAAAGAAATAATTACCATTGTAGTTGCTATGGGTTTTATGAATTATGCTGCAGTATTTGTCTGGGATTTAGAGAGATTGAAAATATTCAAGAAAGCCCCTCCCTTCCCCATTAAGTGGTTATGACATAGAGGAATATAATTGGTTGCTATAGTTTATTCCCGTGGCTATTCTGTATCTCCTGGTTGTCTGAATTTCTGCAGCCCAGATAGGATGATTCTAGTTACTGCTAGTAAGTATATTACTATTAAACGAAAGTATCTGCTCACAGACATTCATGCCTTGTGACCGCCCATCTGAATTCCTGCAGTACACTGTATATGGGGTTGCCCTTAAAGAGCATCCAGAAGCTTTAACTGGTCTAGAATGAAGCTGCACAGCTGTAAATGGTGTCAGTCATACAACCTATGTAAGACCACTGCTTCATGCATTGGTTGCCAGTGTGTTTCTGGATGAAATTCAAGGTGCTGGTTATATCATGTTTAAAGACCTTTGTGGTTTGGAACTGGGTTACCTGAGATGTCTTCTCTCAGTTGTTTCTAACCATCCAATTTGGTCTAGCAGGATACGCATGTTCAGGGTCCTGTCAGCCAAGGAATATCACCTAGCAGAACCAGGAGACATGCCTTCTCTGCCAAGTGCCTGGCTTCTCACTGGCCCTGACTCTGTTGGCTTTTCATAAGACCTTGAAGACTGGTTATGTGTCCAGGCCTAGGATTTCAAGTGTGTGAAACACCCTGTTTCCTGGTTATATTAACATACAGGGTTATGATTTTTTTTCAGTTGATATATATATATTATTTTTATATTCTGTTTGTATTTGTTTTTAATTGATTTTATGATTGGTTACCATCCATAGCACTTTTTTGAAGTGGAGGCCATAAAAATTGAATAAGTAAATAAATGCATCAATTTATTTCCTTCTGTCATTTTGAAAGCTACAAAATTATGTCAGTCCTTAACTTGATGGGAAGAGAGTTGGTATTCTCTCTTTACTATTTTGGAAGGTATATTATCCTTTATGAATTTATTTATTTTTTATCACAAAACCTTGTTGATATATAACCCCTTTAAAAATAATGGGACAGTTATATTGGTTGAAATAAAGTTTTTACGGCTAATAAAAGGAATTTTTAGATTACATTTTAATACATGGATAATAGGGATGAAATTTTAAACTCATAATGGCTATTTAGGTTGTTCTGAGTGTAAATAAAATATATTTTAGTGCTCTGCTAAAAATCATTTCTTTGAAAGCTAATGGCTACCTCACATTTCTCCAACTTATAATTGCGATTATGGTGTACTATAATTATCAGTGTATCTTAAAGTAGACTACAGTTAGAAAACAAATCTGCCTTCATACTGATAAAATGCTTTGTGTCTTAGTTAGATGGCAGTGACTGGACAGCTGCACTTACACCTCCACATTCAGTCATGTTTGTAAACTTAGATTATAGTACAGCAGAAGAAGTCACAAAGAGTGCTGTCCTCTTGAATGAGGATGACCCAGGGGAATCTGGTAAGAGGAATATGTTCCTGTTTTATTTGAATAATAGTTTAACAATATTGACTAATAGTTTAACAATATTGACTAATGAGCCTGTGAAAAAAGCAGATAAAATACATATTTTGTGAGTTGTTTAATGTACAGTGAACAGAAGAGCAGTGAACAGAACAAGCTTTTCTTCATGAATTTTCTTGGGTAATAACCCAAGAATAGGGCATCAATTTCTTGGAAAAGAAAGGAAACTTTCTAGCTTTCTGGCCAGAAAAGATTCTTTCTAGCCTTCAGAATAATTGCCTTTGCTAGCAAAGTGAGGATGTTTCTGGCCAGCAAAGGTGAAATCTAGCAAAGATGATCATTTTGAAGGCTAGAAAGGTTCTTTCAGCAGTTGTAGAAAAAGGTAAAGTAAGTAGACCCAAGTGGGGAGAGGGCCCTACCCTCCCGGCCTGTGACAAGTTTCTGCATGCCAGTGGTCTCTATAGCCAGTTGAAGCCTCCTGGCCCATGACGTGTTTCCACATGCTAGTGGGTCCTGGCCTCAGGGCCTCACCCCTCCCAACCCCTTTGCGCTTAATGACTGCAACTGGGAGAGTTGGGATTACAGTCATTGAGCAAAGCAGTCAGATGAGCATCTTCCTTGGTGACTGCTTCACTTAATGAATGAGATTCCAACCTCAATTGTCAAATTGAGGACGATCTGTATTATGATTAGAAGTCTAAATGTAAACCCATAGCAAGAAATGATTGCATGAAGCAAATCATACTAATGATACATTTTTTTTCTGTGATTTTAGCTGCGAGGAGCATGTATCCTGACTTTCTCCATTCCCTGTTAAAGCACAGTTCAAATACTGTTTTTGAACTTATAGATGAGTATGAAGATACTTGCAGTAATCAGGTATATAGAATTCTATTATGTTATTCAGTGATTTCTTGCTTAACCAAAAATATTTTATTTAGAATAAGCTTGAATAGTAAGTTTGTCCTTCATCAAATGTTGTAGGACATGGAAGGACTCTTTGTAAGTAGTCACAACAGCTGCTTTGCCAGTTGTCATTGGGTAAAGGTAGAACTGGTAACCTGAAATATCTGGTTTAAAAGAAGAGTTAGTCACCATCATTTCAACTTTATTATCTATGTTCTTCCCCTTTGCCTGTACTTTTCCTATCAGATTTTTTATTGTAAACTTGTTTTGAAAGGAAGCTTGCTTGCTCACTCTTTTTTCTTTGGGGTTTATGTTGCAAAGCAGAAATGAGGAAATATCCAGTTCTTAGGACCTTCAGTTACACTTTTTACAATCCAAGAGTTTTCCATAGATTATGATTGTAACTAGATGGGCTTATAGATACTTATTTGTATTATCTAAAGTTTGATCAATCAAAATGCTTTTACATAATTATGTGAAAATAGTAAGATAATGATGACACAGAGACGATATAGACTAGATTAATAGTCTTAGTAGTGTTCATACCACATATAGTATTCTCTGCTAATGATAAGAATAGCATTGTCAGTCCCTTTGGCCAATACACTCCTACAGAATCAAAGCCCAATTATAGTCCAAGCTTGTTTGTACTAATCTGTGTAAGCAAGGAACTTTCTTCAAAAACCTATCCTGCAAGCCTGAAAACTGTTCTTTGCATTCTACCATCTAAGAATATATTCACATACTCAAGATGTAAAATGATAAATGGTTACTTTATGCTACACAATGTATTAATTATAATGAATAAAATAAAATAAAGTAGCTCTTCATTGTTTTTCAAACATCAGCTAAACATTCTTCAAAAAATCGTGTATCGAGCAACTCCTGGACAACAGAAATTTTCCAAAACTGCTAGTATTTTGTGGCTTCTAAAGCAAGAAATGGTAACATGGAGACTCTTGTCATCAATTTACAGGTAACTCTCTAAAAGCCACTCAACTCTTTCCTCAACATGTTACCTTCCTGTGTTACAGTCCATAATTGAATAAAAAAGAAATATTTCTTATATGAAGTAAACAAACAATTTATAAGAAACACTAAGAAAACTTTCATTTTGTTCAGTCTGAGAAAGAACATTATTCATGAAATGTATATTATTCATAAATTTGCAGCGCAATCCTGTCTGCAGTCCTATTGCATTTATTACTTAGGAAGTATGTTTTCAGTCTAAAGTGTATTTATTTATCTTAATGATTGAGTAATAGATAATTCAATGCAGAATATAGTAGAGGAATAAGATTTTGTGTCACATCATTTAAAAAACATGAAAAAAAATTAAATAAACTTCTTGGAGGTTTCAACAATACTGTTTTAAAGCCCTCTGTGGAACATATAGCACAAACTACTAGTAAGGCATCAAAAGCAAGACCACGTGGGAAAATGAAAGATACATGTAATTTCTGCAACACTCTCTGTAAGAGTCAGAAATAGAATTGCAAAGTTCTCATGAAAACTGCACCTAGATTTCATATAACTGTTAGCCTATATGTTTTAATTTATAGTAAGAGGTGTGTGTTTAATGAAAACAAAAAAGGACTAAGACTACTTGATTAAAGCTAGATAAAACAAATAAATAAAAATAATCTTTGCTTGCACAGACACAAAGCCGAAGGCACCAGCCTGAAGATGACGAGTGGGACCTCGTCAAAATGTTGCCAAGATACACTCAATCTTACACGGGAAAAGACCCGAATACACCAAAACTTGCATATATATATATATAAGTAAATATTAGTTTATCATATATGATAATTTGCTTTGTCTTTTGAACCTAGAGACAGAATACAGTCTGCTTTGGAAGATGAAACTATGTTTGATCTTGCAGTAAGTTTTGTCAAACTCATTTTGTTTTGCAAAACAACATACAAGTCTAAAGTATATTATTGTTTAGCAAAATATTACTCTCTTCAAAATGTCTAATACAACTAGGCAAAATTATGGAAGTAAATAATTAAAACAGCAATAATTTTTTTCAGATGTTGCCTTAAAAAGCCAAAAAGTGCAAATGGTAGCTTCCAGCACTACTGTATAGTTCTGTTTCTGAAACAGAACTTTCACTTCCCTCTTGCCTAATCTGCACTTCAGAATTTAATTTCCACAAGCAGATTTGAAAGGTGCTATAAGAGTATTAGAGTTGTTGTAGAGGGCCATTGTTCTGATAGATGGATTCTACTGAATGAACATGGAAGATATTAAAATATTATATGAATAGTGTTTCAGTCATTTGAAAATGGACTTATTTTTCTCTAGGTTATAAATGCCAGTGAAAAGACTGTTGTGAACAATCTATTCCAGAGAGACTCATTGGTGCGGCAAAGCCAGGTATGACAAAATAAGATAAAGTAGTTATGTGTGTGTGTGTGTGTGTGTGTGTGTGTGTGTGTGTGTATGTAAGTTTTCACGGGTATATATGTGTGTACAGTTAATATTTCGGGTTTCTTCCCATGTAATTGTGAACATATCCCTAAAAGGGTAGAAGCGACGTTTCGACAGAATCTCATCTGCCATCATCAGGCTTATGTGAGGGGTCTTTTGCAGTTACTGCAAAAGACCCCTCACACAAGCTTGATGATGGCAGATGAGAAACGGGAAGAAACCCGAAATATTAACTGTACACACACACACACACACACACACACACACACACACACACACATATATATATATATTTACTATCCGATAGTGGGAATGTGGTGGGAAATAAATTACTCATCCTATTTTTGTAATTCTTTTTAAATTTTCAGTTGGTGGTAGACTGGTTAGAGAGCATTGCAAAGGATGAAATTGGAGACTTCTCTGATAATATTGAATTTTATGCAAAGTCTGTATACTGGTAAGTTATTGATCTACTATTGAGCATTCATGAGCATTTATAATCCATATATTACAAGCATTTAAAAACCATGTCCTCTGTGGCAAATGTTGTGATAACCTCTAGTTTCCATGATATATTGGATTTCAATTTATTGCACATATTAAAACACTATATATCAAACTGATAAAGGTTCATGAAATATTAAATAGTGTGATGTATCTCACATTATTGAGATACATCACAATTCCCTTGTTTGGATTTACCTTTTGCTACAGAAAAAGCAGCTACAAGAAGCTTGCTTTTACTTTTATTTCAAAGTCTTCTGGAACCCAAGAGAAAGAGCCCCATTCTTACCTTTGGGAGGATGCTGTTTCAGAGGGTGAGGGCTGCAACAGTGTAGGAATGTTTCCTAGGTTCCACAAATTGCAACATTTAATGAAGGGGACCTAGAGTGCACTCACTCTGCTGGAAGATACTAGAAAGGCAGAAACAATTGGAGACAAGCCGTCTTCCATCTATCCAGACCCTATGATCTACATGTCATATGAGGATGTAGACCTAAGAGGATCCTACAAGTTGATTTTATTTGCCAATATAAGAGGAAGTATACCAAATACAGAAATGTACCGAATACAGAACAATAAGCTTAATGAGTCATGCCCTGAAATATTCCTGAGAATAATTCACACAAGAATATACAACAAAATTGAGGACCGTCAAAGTAACACAATTTGGTTTCAGAAACAATCTTGGTACACGAGATGCCCTATTCAGCATACACGTTTTTGTACAGCGTTATAGAGATGTCAATCACAGAGTTTACATGTGCTTCATTGATTTTGAAAAAGCATTTGATATAATAAGACACAACAAACTATTACAAATCCTGAAACAAGTGGGGCTATACGGCATACTTCACTTACTCATATTTTTCGGAATATAAAACGCTCCGGAGTATAAGACACACCTTAGTTTTTGGGGAGGAAAAGTGGGGGGGAATTTCTGCCTCTACCTACCAGGTATTCCTATGGCTAGTGTCCTTAGCCTGGTCAGCTTCAGCACATTAGTTCGCTGATTGTGAGATTGCATGTGTTTCGTTGGGGCTGATAAGCAGCTTCAATAGCACAGCTGATAGTTGGAAGCAGCTCTAGTGAGTATAGCAGGCAAAGTGCGGAAGCGGTAAGACAAGGCAGCAGCTGTTCCAGGTTGCCATCTTGGGCTCTGCGCCTCGCGTTTTCAGCCTCCAAACTCTCTGTTTGAGAGCCGTTCAAGGCTGCGAGGATTGCCAAAGCACATCACTGCTGATTGCCGGCCAAAAGCATGATGCACAGAGCCAAAAACGGGGCATGCGGAGGCCGAAAACGCAGTGGGCGGAGGCGGTGATCGGTGGTGATGTGCTTTGGTGATCTGAGCAGCCTTGAATGACTCTCAAACGGAACATTTGGAGGCTGAAAATGAGAGGCGCGGAGCCCAAAAACGCAAGCCATTGTCTGTGGCAATCTCTGCAGCCAGGAAGAGGACGCGCAGAGGCCAAAGCTGGCGGATGGGCGGGGCTACATTTGGAGTATAAGACGCACCCAAATTTTCAGCCTCTTTTAGGAGGGAAAAAGTACGTCTTATACTCCGAAAAATATAGTAATCCTCCAGGGAAAGATTGAAGGCAAACGAGGTTCAGGCAGAAGGAGAACATCATGGCTTCAAAATCTAAGGGACTGGTTTGGACAAAACTCAGCAGCACTTTTTTGTGTGGCTGTTGATAAAAATAGGATCACCAACATTATCGCCAACGTCTGATGATGGATATAGAAGAAGGAAGAGGAGGAGGAGGAGGAGGAGGAGGAGATGCTATTGCCAGAAAGTAGGTGATAGTAATAAACCATGGTTGAGTGAGAAATTACCTGGTATATGAGAAGAGATATGAACTATTTAAATATATCGCTACATAACTATAACATTAGAATATTTAATTCAGTAAATGCTGTTGATGAAATGTTTTTGCTGTTGTTTTTAGGGAGAATACATTACACATTTTGAAGCAGTGGCAATCAAACACATTCAGTGGGAGTTTACGTCCATTAGTGACTGAAGTAGTAAGTATAACATACCAATTCCAGGCCTTAAATATCTAAATTAAATATAGACAAACATTCTTACATAAAAATCAATTTGTTAAAGTACCATTACAATAGACAATATTTTATTTTCAGCTTTAATACACATTCAAATAGATTACTTATTATGAGGAATAATTAAATGTATTAGTATTCAGAAATAATAAGGAAATGAAAGGAAAATTAGAGCATAGGCTGGAATGGAAGGTGGACAGAAAGTTAATTTAAAAGAATAAGACTTGAGTTAGAAAAAAATGGTTAATTGGAGCAACTAAAAATAAGGAAACAATAGGATCTGAAGGTTTTATAACTAAAACTTAGTCATAGATACATATATATAAAGGAAATTAGTTACATTTAAAAAATTTTGTGAATTTTATGCTCCATTAACAAATATCTTAACTAATAGTATTTAAATATTAATTGAATAATTAATCACAATTTGTATTTGAGGAGAATCCTTAGAAATATATATGAGGCTTTTTCCTGAATACTTTAAAAAGTTTAAAAGGGAGAGGCTAAGCATTATCTCTAAAAGAAAAACATTTTTAGGATAGAGAAGACTTGAAAGAAAGTAGTGATACAACTGAATTTTTCATACATGTATTGATATTTTAGAGAATGGAGAGAAGCAGGCATTGTGATTGATAAATAAATTGAGGAAAAGGTTTTTAAATATCTTGTCTAATTTCTTAAAGAGTAGAATTGTAAAGTAATCCAGAGGAAATTACTATATAGAATTGCCTACTGTTACTTTACCTTAAAATCTGTATATAGAAGACTGTTTGATTTCTGTATTTAGGACCCAGATGCTCCAGTAAGGCAGAAAATGCCACTTGAAGATTTAGATCGTGAAGATGATGCACGATTGCTCAAGTTCCTTTTTACTCTCATTAGAGCAGGAATGACAGATGAGGTAAGCCAGTGGAAGCTAGTTGGGTTAAATGGTTAAAGACCAGGCTGGAAATCAGGAGACTGTGAGTTCTAGTCCTGCCTTAGGCATGAAAGATGGCTGGATAGCTTTGCTCCAAACACTCTCTCTCAGCCCAACCCATGTCATAGGGATGTTATTGTGGGGAAAATGGGAGGAGGAAGGAGTATTAGGTATGTTCGCTTTGAGTTGTTTATAAAAATAATAAAGGTGGAATAAAAATTTTTACAACTCATACAGAAATATAAAATTGGCTCACATACAAAGTTATGCAAATAGCTATAGAATCTGAACCGCTGAACTAGCATTATTTCTTCTGTGGAATTGTGAATTTGTGTCATAAACAGTATCCATGAAGTAATAAAAATATTTTGTTGCTTAACAATACTATTAACTAATTTATAAGCCACCCAGAGTCACCTTGTAAGGGAAATGGATGGCATAGAAATTTAATAAATAAATATATAAAAATTAACAGTATTCAATTCCTTAAGCAGCTAGGATTGGCAAAATCATATATTTTTGTCAACGTAAGTTTGGAATAAATTGTCATATTTTTTAACTCTGCTTGGTGCATCGAGCGGAACTTTGAATAATAAGACTTGTATCTTTGATTGAGTAGATGTTAACCGTTAAAATTTTAGAGTAAATGTCCAAACAAAAGTTTTTAAAAGATGAAGCTCTACTGTTATATTTTGGTACAGATTAACCAGATTTCTAGCAAAAATTATCTTTCTCTCTCCTTGATTCTTTTATTTATTTATTTATTTTATTGGAATTTGTCAAACAAAAAGCAAACAAGAATAAGAGAATAAAAATACAATGACAGGGACGATAGGCACGTTACTGCACTTGTGCACTTGTACTGACCACTTAAGTATGAAGTAAGGTCCATGGAAGTCCATTTGTGACTGATTTGTAGCTGAGACAACTGAATCAGGTAGAGCATTCTAGACTTTGACTACTATTACAGAAATCATATTTTTTACAGTCAAGTATTATTGTGATTAAAACAGAAAAAGTCATTTACAGGTAAAACATTACAACATATAATTTTATATGCAATACCTAGGTCTGACCGCAAGCGACGCAGTTCTGAGTTATCCAAACAGAGAATTTCAAGCCTAGTAGCTTAAGGAATTCTATTGTGTACAGAAGAGTGCAAGACTTTTCTCGTGAAGTACTTCTGAACCCGCTTGATTGTACTGATAATAGATATATGGTGGGGATTCCAAACAGTTGAACAATACTCTAAAATTGGTCTAGCATAAGTTTTATAAGCTCTAATTAGCAATACAATGTTTCCAGAAAAAAAGCTTTGCAAAATTAAATTTACAACTCTTAATGCTTTTTTAGCAACGCTGTTAAGAGTGAGCTTTGGAGCATAAATAGTCAGAGATAAGTACACCTAGGTCCTTAACAAAGTGAGGGCTATCTGCTAGATCATTGCCACATAGCTTATACTTGATATTCTGATTATGTTTACCAATATGTAATACAGAGCATTTATTAATCGAAATTTGAAGTTGCCAAATAGATGACCATTCAGACATATAGTCGAGATCACTTTGCAATACAACAGAATTAACTGTAGAATTGAATAATTTTATGTCATTGGCAGGCCCAAAGACTCTGCAAAAGGTGTGGCCAGGCCTGGAGAGCTGCAACACTTGAAGGATGGAAACTGTACCATGATCCTAACATGAATGGAGGTATTGAAATGAAAAATGACTTAAGCACATATAGAACAAAGAATGACAAGGTTCACTGTTTTGTTTCTTTATTTTAACATGTTTGCCCTTAGCTGTTTCTACAACTGTGCACTTGGAAAGGAAAAAAGTATTTATTTCAGTTCATCCAAGTACATATTCATAAAATATAGTTAACAAATATAAAGTTAAGTCCTTAATTATAATAGAAATAAGAGTCAATCTATATTTATCTCCGAATTTGATATAAAGGGTCCAGATTTCTTATTTGCAATGTTTCTTAAAAGATTTATCACAATTTCCAGGAACTGCCTGCTTCAAATTTAATAGTAACAATTTGAAGTATCCATAATTAGCTATACACCTTCTAGTTCCCTCTTTTTACATTTAATTTAGGGAACACTTTCCTAGTTTGGTGAAACCTCACTTTGTTATTGCATCTAAAATGAAAGTCTGTGATTTTAAAGAATAAAAATTAAGAGGTAGGCTCATTTAACTAAGAATTAGAATGTAACCATAGACTATGATTTAATCATACTACCAGATTACCTGTTAAATGTTCTACTAGTAGAGAGATTTCAGTGCAAAAACTGAGATGATTTGACTAGAGAACTATTACAGCTGTATTGTCCCGGAGCTTTCTTATATGAAATGACATGAATTTTTCGGTGATGGAGACAACTTGCTTTTTCAGAATGCACTCCTTCTTATCCCTGCTTCATGCTACATCACTTCATAAAATTACCTCTTACAAATAGGGCAAGAGCTAGAGCCAGTAGAAGGAAACCCATACAGATGCATTTGGAAAATCAGTTGCTGGCGACTTGCAGAAAAGGTAAGAAACTTACAAATCTACTATTCATTTCTAATATTGCCAGTAGCAGCATAAGCATATTATCAGTATGTCTTTTATAATTATGTGAACGTAAGAGTATTTTTAGCATGCCTTCTGCAATACTTGGAACATCTCATCCCAGGATTCCAACATTCTATTAACTAAATGTTGCATGTTCTCCTCCTGTAGAGTATCTTCTTCCAATCATTTTTCCCCAGTTGTATGCAGCTCCCGGAACTCTGAATAAAATACTGCAAAATTAAATATAATCTTAATAAGGAATTGTACGGTTTATTATGCGTGCTGGTTTCCTAGGATGGGGAGCAGCAGGTGATGGCAGAGTACATAGAAGTATGCAACTTCTCTTGGAGATTGGTAGTTCTCTCCATTTTGGGGAAACCTGATGACTAGAGGAAGCTTTAATCCATTGCAATATTTCACTAATGAGCATCAGCCTGAGCATCAGCTCCATTCTCTTCAATATCAGTACGATGTTAATTCACTACATTGGCATTGGCACAGTAATTGTTTATTTATTTATTTATTTATTTATTTATTTATTTATTTATTTATTATATTTCTATACCGCCTTTCTCCCGTAGGACTCAAGGCGGTGTACAGTCAAGAAAAATATAGACACACAAACATCATAAAATTGCTAATTAAAATTATTACTTAGTTTGGTCAATTAAATAAAACCCAGAATTAGATAACATTAAAAAAAAAAAATCATTCACATGTTCATATGTTTAGCCCCATCTGTTGGAACATCAGGGTCTTGAGGGCATGGCGGAAAGCACGGAGATCAGGGATATTCCGTATCTCCGGGGGCAGTTCATTCCAAAGGGTTGAAGCCCTCACAGAGAAGGCCCTCCCCCTGGGAGTCGCCAGTCGGCATAATTTGACTGACGGTACCCTGAGTAGTCCCTCCCTGTGAGAACGAACTGGTCAGTGGGAGGCTATTGGTGGCAAAAGACGGTCTCGTAGGTACCCAGGTCCTAAGCCATGGAGCGCTTTAAAGGTGATAACTAACACCTTGAATCGCACCCGGAAGACCACCGTGAGCCAGTGCAGCTCGCTTAGGAGAGGTGTTACATGGGCGTAATGAGCTGCGCCCATAATCACCCGCGCGGCTACGTTCTGGACCAGTTGGAGCCTCCAGGTGCTTTTCAAGGGGAGCCCCATGTAGAGAGCATTACAGTAGTCCATACGGGAGGTAACTAGGGCATGAGTGACCGTGCGCAAGGCGTCCCGATCCAGAAAGGGACGCAACTGGCGGATCAGGCAAACCTGATAAAAGGCACCCCTGGACACAGCCGTCAAATGATCTTCTAAAGATAGCCGTGAATCCAGGAGGACACCCAAGTTGCGGGCCCTCTCTGTGGGGAGCAAGATCTCATCCCCTATTGTCAGTGATGGTACCAGCTGACTATACTGGGACGCCGGAAGCCACAGCCACTTGGTCTTGGAGGGGTTGAGTCTGAGCTTGTTTTTCCCCATCCAGATCCGCACGGCCTCCAGGCAAAGGGACATCACAGCAAGGGCATCATTGGGGTGGTCTGGGGTGGAGATGTATAGCTGTGTGTCATCAGCATACTGATGAACACTCACCCCGAAACCACGGATGATCTCACCTAGCGGTTTTACATAAATGTTGAACAGAAGGGGTGAGAGGACTGACCCTTGCAGCACCCCACAAATAAGGTGCCTCGAGGTCGACCTCTGCCCCCCTGCCAACACAAACTGCGAACGGTCAGAGAGGAAGGAGGAGAACCACCGAAGCACGGTGCCCCCTATTCCTAACCCCTCCAGCCGGTGCAGTAAGATACCATGGTCAATGGTATCAAAAGCCGCTGAGAGATCTAATAGGACCAGGATAGAGGAGCAACCTCTGTCCCGAGCCCTCCAGAGATCATCCACCAACGCGACCAATGCCGTTTCCGTGCTGTATCGTGACCTGAAGCCCGACTGGAACGGATCCAGATAGACAACTTCATCCAGGTATCGGGGTAGTTGTCGCACCACCACACACTCAACAACCTTCGCAACAAAGCGAAGATTGGAGACTGGACGATAATTTGATAATATAGCCGGGTCCAAGGAAGGCTTCTTGAGGAGGGGCTTCACAACCGCCTCTTTCAAGGCAGCGGGAAAGACACCCTCACTCAGAGAAGCATTTATAATCCCTTGGAGCCAGCCTCGTGTAACCTCCCGGGAGGCCAGTACCAACCAGGAGGGATACGGGTCCAATAAACATGTGGCAACGTTAAGCTTGCCCAGAATCCTGTCCATGTCCTCAGGAGTCACAGAGTCAAACTCTTCCCAGATAACGCTCTCAAGATCTGCCCCCATCTCCTCCCCTGGATCTACCCAATCGGAGTCCAGGCCTTCCCGAATCTGAGTGACTTTATCATGCAGGAATTGTACAAAATCCTCAGCTCGACCTTTTAAGGGATCTTCCTGTACCCCCACCTGAAGTAGGGAGCGGGTCACCCTAAACAGCGCGGCTGGGCGGTTCTCTGCAGATGCAATAAGAGTGGAGAAGTAGCTAGACTTCGCCACTCTTATCGCCACTAGGTAGGTCTTAATATAAGATCTCACCTGTGTTCGGTCAGATTCAGATCGGCTTGTCCTCCAATCGCTCTCCAGGCATCTTTTCTGAAGCTTCATCTCTCTCAGCTCCTCGGAAAACCAAGGAGCTAGACGAGATCGGCATCGGGTCAGAGGCCGCAAAGGCACGATGTGGTCCAAGGCCCCAGTAGCCGCCCTGTCCCAGGCGACCACCAGGTCCTCAGTTGAGTCGTGAGCCAGAGTCTCAGGAAATGGCCCAAGCTCCATCAGGAACCTTTCGGGGTCCATCAGACGCCTGGGACGGAACCATTTGGTTGGTTCCGTCTCCCTGTGGTGGGTGGAAGTGACTTGAAAGTCCATGTGAAGGAGAGAATGATCAGACCATGACAAGGGCTTGATGTCTATATCCCCTATTCTTAGATCATTCAGCCACTGATCAGAGACAAAAATCAAGTCCAGAGTGTGATTCTCCAAGTGGGTGGGGCCTTGAACTACCTGGGTCAGGTCCATGGCCGTCATGGAAGCCATGAACTCCCGAGCCGTCTCCGACATCTCACCAGCGGATGGCAGGTTAAAATCCCCCATAACAATAAGTCTGGGGGTTTCCACCGCCACCCCGGCTATAATGTCGAGCAGCTCAGGCAGGACCGCTGTTACGTGGCAGGGAGCCAAGTACGCAATCAGTAGGCCCATCTGAATCCCCCGACCCCACTTCACAAGGAGGGACTCACATCCGGCTATCTGAGGAACAGTGGCCTCCCTCGGGCAAAGACTTTCTCTAATGATTGCTGCCACTCCCCCACCCCTTCCCTGAGTCCTTGGCTGATGGAATGCACGGAAACCTGGCGGGCACATTTCCACAAGGGGAACTCCTCCCTCCTGGCCTAACCAGGTCTCCGTAATCCCTGCCAGGTCAGCTCCCCCTTCTGAAATAAGATCATGAATGTGGGGGGCTTTATTTACCACTGACCTGGCATTACACAACATCAGCCGTAGACCCAGGGTCTGAGACTCTGAACAACCCGGGAAACGAGCAGTGCTTTGGGGGTCGGAGTGGGCAATCGCTCATAAACATCAAGTGCGCACTCCCGAAACATAATATGGCCCCCTGCAGCCGTCATATCTGCCCCTCCCACTTACTATACTAATGCCCATCGCTTCATCCCCCTGCATCTTTGTCAGATTTCTGTCCCCATCCTCCCCACCGTGATCATCAGACCCATTACCCCTTTCAGTGGATATATGGATCCCCCCAGATCCATTCCCACAATCCCTCCCAGAACCCCTTAAAATAGAACTTAAAGATTTATCTAAAAACCCCTAAAGCCGTCGTTTTTTTGCAAACCACCTCTTGGGGCTCCAAAACCCGTCCTCAAGGGCGGCCCTTGATAACTGAGAGGGCCAGACATGCGAGAGGGGGGAATCTCGCAGTGCAAGGAGCTCCGCAGTTGAATACATCAAAGATAGGAGCGAGTTGAAGGAGATGAAGGATCATTTTCTTCTAAGTGTTAGAGATGGTTAAGACAGGTAATTTAAAATAAGGGAGGAAATAGATGTTAAAGGAAGACCAGTATGTTACAAATGTCAATACATCGGAACATCATCGCCCTCTCACGACGATGGGAAGTCTTGTGGTTGTAGTAAGTTCAAAGGAGGTGGGGGTAGAGGTCTCAAAGGGTCATCCTCTCACAGCGACCAAACCATTTGAAACAAACAAAGAGAAGGTGGTCTATCTCCCCATAATCCAAGACTCTTGATGTCTGTATCTCCTCCAGTCCTGATACCAGCGATGGCCGAGGATTAGATCAAAAAAGTAAGGCAGAGCCACTGGACAAAGTATTTAGGGTTAAATAATCAGGGTAATCTTGGGGAATAGGTGGTAAATAAAGCTGCAGATCGATCTAAGATTGCAAGTTAATGCTGAGTGGTCGTAATAGACCTAGATCTGATAAAGGAGAGAGGGACAGTTGAGGGGGATTAACTTTAATCAAATTAATTAAATTTAAATTAAATTTAATTAAATTTAATTTTAATTAGTTTAACCATCTAAGTTTTCACAAGACAAGTGGATGGAATAGAATTTAGGCATATTGCCTTGAATTTCAGTCTTTACTTGGTCTTGCTTCATTTTTTTTTCATGCAAGCCCCAATCTTAGGGGTTTCATATTTTGGCAGGACAAATGCATCCTCTTATGCTGTCTTACCCGCAGAAACAGCTTATGGTATTTTGTTGTTTTGATTGCTTCAGATGTGTCTGAATGTCATGCTTTAGTAATAATATATATTACATTTCTTAAATATAATGACATCAAAAATATTTCTGAATTGAATATTTTTAGGAACAGTTTGACAAGTATGAGAGAGCGATCTATGCGGCACTTAGTGGGAATCTCAAACAGGTATGACACGGGGTTTTTTTCAGTAACTGTTGGAAGTGTTGAACATTTTGCTATCATTCTGAGGCATATAATGGAATTGCAAGCCAGAGATTCTACAAATAAAAATTAGCATAGTTGTAGCTTCTGAAGCTTATAAGTAAGCCCATACAAGTAGTCCTCAAGATGGAGCCTGCCCATTGCAGTTGCATGTCATGACAGTCATTAAGCAAAACCTCCTCACTTAATGACCCCAGTCCTTGCTCTCTCTGATGAAAATATTAAGCAAACAGGAGAGTCATTTAACAAAGAACAGGGTGTGGGGAGGGGGGGTCTCTGAGAAGCCTACACAGGCTCAGGATTGCCTGCTCTAGGGCTCCCAAGACTACTCACACCCCCATAAACTGCAGAAAAATGGAGCCTACTTAAAAAAATTAACTGTAGTTGCCAAGAATTTCCAGGTGCTTCTCTCTAGTCATGCTTATGTAGAAAGATGTTAAAATCAAAGTTAGCTGCAATTCATTCTCATTGTGTGTGTGTCAGTAATTCATAGCTAAAGTAGGGCTAGCTTGGGTTGTTTTAATATTATATTTTCTCCAAAACTTTAATTTGTTGGGGCTTTTGTTTTGCTTTCTTTGTGACTTTAAAGCTTCTTCCAGTTTGCGATACCTGGGAAGATGCTGTTTGGGCATACTTCAGGGTCATGGTAGACACACTTGTTGAACAGGAAATTCGTTCATCTGTAATGAATACAGAGGAGAAGGAAGAACTCCCCAGAGAATATTTGGAAACAAAGTGAGTTGCTTTTTGTTTGTTCAATAGCTGCTATGAAATTTTGAAGGCGATGCTAACTGCCATTTTTTCTTCATTATTTGAAGTTGGACTTTAGAAAAAGTATTTGAAGAACTTCAAGCAACAGACAAAAAGGTAAATCTGAGGCTTTTTCAAAATTAAAGGAGTATATTATAGCTTACTCTTATATGTATTTTCTCATAACCAAGTCCTGTAGGGTTCTTAGGGGCAAGCTTCAAGATAAAGTTGTAATGATGTATTCATTTACTTGGGAAAAAGACTGGACACAGTTTACTGAACTATGAACAAACACATTTGATTGTCCTAGTCTTAATCTGCAATAGCATAATTTTATTAGTCAAAAAAATTACACTAATTTTAAAAAAATCTGATGCAGTGACCACACCATATTGTTTTATCTATTATCATTTATGCAATGGATGTGTTCATATATACTTTTAAACCAGGATATTTAAACTGTGTTTTGAGTAAGCTTGCACATCAAATTTGATCATACAGATAGATTTTTACACATCATTAAAAAAGAACAAGTAAATCAACTGATGAATTTATAATGAAATATGAATCAGCCAGTAAGTGTACCTTATTACTGCACAGAAATGCCCTTCAGCATAAGTATGCTGCAAAATAATAATCTTTTTCAAATATGCCTAAATATCCTGATTACAAATAATTTTCTATGATTATATGTTAATGACTTCATAAATACAAAAATTGTTTTTCAGAGAGTTTTGGAAGAGAATCAAGAGCACTATCACATGATTCAAAAGTTTGTTATCCTAGGAGATGTGGATGGTAAGTTTTGCACTAGGTCTTTTTTCATTCCTCAGTTCTCTGTGTTTTAGTAGTGCTACTTTTTTATAGAGTAACCATACTTACAAGGCTTTAAGAATTTAGTTACTTATTCTCTTCAAAAAAGTTGGGTGAGAAAGAAAAGTCTGTAATTTCAAATGTTTATAGATAGGTGGGGAGTGGGATGCAGTTGATACATAAGAAGGTCACTTGTGACTGTGTTGCCTTTTGAAAAATTACAGCAAAGATATGTAACTTGGTGCTTCCAGACATCCTGGGCGCCCATAAGATTTTTTAAAATTAAAATTAGTTTGCATATTCTAAAGTGCCAATCACCAACATCTTTATTTAACTGCTTAACTAAAGCACAGAGAAAAAAAAAATGCAGAGGGCTTCAGCCTTCTGCTTTTTTTGGAAATACATTTTCCTGTTCTCCAAAGATAAACTTGGCTGAGAATACTGTGGGATATATCCCAGAGAAATAAAGGAGCTAATGGGGAAAACTTAGCTTATTTAGTTCTGTGATGGGCAAGTGTAATTATTTTATATTTGTTGCTTTTATTTTTCAGGTCTTATGAATGAATTTTACAAATGGCTTTCCAAAGGCAGAAATATGCTTCCTGGGCATCTGCTTCGATTCATGACTCATCTCATTTTATTTTTCCGTACTTTGGGGCTTCAAACCAAAGTAAATGAATTTATTTATTCAGCTTTAATAAGTATACAAATTATCAAAAAAATTAGAACTAGAGAATCACAGCTAACAAACAGAACTTTCTAAATGTTAAATGTGATCATGAAAAGTTACTATTCCTGTCCCAGTGATGTGTCTTAAAATATGAGAACTGGTTGCAAAAAGTACATTCAGATCCATTAAAAAGGTAGCAAAATGAGAGTTTTAATATTAATTACATATTATTATAATATATTAAGGTTAAGGTTATATTTTAAAATAATTAGGCAATTTTATTAAAACATTTGTTTTTCCATATAGGAGGAAGTATCAATTGATGTTTTAAAGGCCTACATTCAGGTAAATTATTTCATTACTTGCACAAATGGAAACATTAATAAAGAGCAAAGATGTTACCTCTTTTGTATAATTGCACATTTATTACCCTTTTTACATATAGAGGATATCATCAAATTAGTTGAAAGAAGGCATTATTAGATTTTAATGGCACAGGTATACTGATGCATTGCTATTCACTCTCCCTTTCAAGTAAGTGTAAATACATATGCATGTGTGTCTATCTGTATTGTGTTGTTATATCATCATATTTTATAGTAGATATTATAGCAATATTTATATTGTCTCCCAAAATGCCATTTGTTTTCTTTTCCAGTGGTTAGTATGTGAGAAGCACACTGCTCTCATAGCATTTTATGTCAGCCACCTGCCTCAAGATATAGCTGTTGCTCAGTATGCTGCATTCTTGGAAGATGTCATAGACACTGAACAACGGCACCACTGTCTGGAGCTTGCCAAGGAAGCAGGTTAGAAAAAATGTGCTGAATTGGATATGTTCTTAGGGAACATTTAACTCTTTCCCTGGTTGGCAACTATTTGTAAGTGGATGTGTATGATTATAATAGGTCTAAACAGAGTATGCAAAATTTAGCTAGTCGTAGCTTGAAATGTTAATAGTGGATATGATTTTTATAATATTACTTATTTAATGTGCCATAATGCCTACTTGGTTAAAAGATCCGCAATGAAATTTAGCCTTCAAGAAATTACCAGGGTAAATGCAATAAAGACAATATTTCCATTTAAAGTTATTTTAGTTTCACCTCGTAGAAAACTGCTACTCAGCCAGTTTCAGTGTTTTTGTTTAATGCCATTTCTTATCCATACAGATGTTATAAATATCTCCTCCTCTTGGTATATAATCCTTGGGATTTTTTTTTCCAAAATAGGTTTGGACATTGCAACTATAACAAAAACAGTGGTTGAAAATATTTGCAAAAAAGACACTAGTGAGTTCTTCCACCATGATCTTGCAATAGAGACAGGCACAACAGAGGTGAGTGTGGTATTTCATGTGCTCTGCCTCTAACACCAGCATATTCTGCCTACTTTTATCAGCTGCAGAAGCTGTTCCTATATGAAAAGTACTTTGTTTTACTTTTCTTCCAACAGCTTCTGGTCAATAAAAATAATTGCAAAAGTTACAATTGCTATAATAATTCATTGGAATTCTTTGCATGTCTGTGTTCCAATCTATTGGCAAGTACTTCTTTTAAATGTTTGAATGGCTCAAAATAGCAATCCTAATTCTACAGTTATACGCTGTTCTTGAAAATTCAAAAAATGCTGAAAACTCAAATATATAATTTAATATAAATTGTAGTTAACTCTAAATATGCCAGAAACTTGTGATTCTCCAATAATGCGCAATTAAAATCTGTAGACTGTAACCAGCAAATCTTTTCTAGTCTTAAAAGCTAATTTGATTACCCTAGATATTAACACAGGATTTTTTCCCCCCAGGATGATCGCTTGAAGATTGATGTCATTGATTGGCTAGTATTTGATCCTGCTCAGAGAGCTGAAGCACTTAAGCAAAGCAATGCTATAATGAGGAAATTCTTGGGTACTGCAGTATTCATGATTTTGAAATAAATAAATAGATAAAGCATATTGAATCTGAAAGCAATTTATGTTCTTAAATAATATTTTATAGCATCTAAGAAGCATGAAGCAGCCACAGAAGTATTTATAAAGATTCCACAAGACTCTATAGCTGAAATATACAATCAATGGGAAGAACAAGGAATGGAGAGTCCACTTCCGGCTGAAGATGACAATGCTATTAGAGAGCATTTATGTATTAGAGCATACTTGGTAAGAATGTGACGAAGTTCGAAAGAGGGCACCCTGTCTCCTAATTCCAAAAATATGTCAGTGCTCTAATATTAGGTGTGAAAAATATACAGTGTTAAACATATAGTTTATTTTAACAAACAAGCTAATCCAGAGGTCAGAGGCAGTAGTAAAACCTTATTACATTCTGAGATTGAATCTTATTTCAGATTAAGCCAAACTGAGTCATTTCTGCTCTTTTTTTAAAAAATAAGTTGAACAGTTAGATAGGTTTAATTCTCTATTCTTATCAACTAATGAAGAGGGAGCAAAAGGTCTCTGAGCTAGCTAGATGCTCAAAATATTTGTTTAAATATATTCAAGGACAGAGAATTCATAAATGCATAACCTACATATTTCTAGATTTATGCATTTGATAATAACTATATACTTCCAACTCAATATAGGAAGCCCATGAAGCTTTTAATGAGTGGTTTAAACACATGAATTCAGTTCCACAGAAGCCAAGTCAGCTTTCACAAGCAAGTTTCACAGAAAAAGTTGCCCATGAACTTAAAGAGAAGAAATATGAGGTAAATATATATGAAAAAATGACTTGTTCATAATATATTGAAGTGTAAATCTTACTCATAAATACCTTAGCCATACAAATAAAGTGTGAATAATTTATCAATATATTTCAGGCTAGCCATAGCTAGAAATTTATATTAGGATTTTGACTTTTTTGTGTGGATGCTGTTTTGGCTCATACCTTTTTTTCTTGTTATCTTTTTTCAGATAGATTATGGCATCTGGAAAGGTCTTTTAGATGCTCTTACAGCTGATGTAAAAGAAAAAATGTATAATGTCTTATTGTTTATCGATGGAGGATGGATGGTTGATGTCAGAGAGGTTGGTTAATATAACTAAGCTATAACTTAGCTTTAAATAAACATTTAAAGCTAGTCCTACATAATAATAGAATAAAAGATAATGGAATAGCTGCATTTTTTACCACTAGAATGCTGCTATGTAGTGTTCAGAGTTTACTTCTTCTGGACTGACTCCTAGATTCTAATCATAATTACATAATTACACAAACTAACCATGTAAATAGTGCCTACACTTAAACAGAAATGAAATTGCAAGATCACATATACTCTGGTTTAAAATTATCTTCTACTATCTTACATTATAATGAAGGGCCAAATTTAATAGCCCTTTAGCAAGGTTAGTTTTTGTGGGTTAGAATTGGAAGAATTGCACATTTACCCACTTTTTCTCTATTTGAGAGTGGTGGGTTTTCAAAGGTTGGAGTAAAGAGAGTTAAGATTGTATATAGGACTTTGGCTTAATACATGTCTATACTTTTTAATCAAGGATGCTGAAGATGACCCTGAGCGTTCTCATCAGATGATCATGCTGCGAAAACTCTGCTTGCCAGTGTTGTGCTTCCTCCTTCATACAGTCTTGTACAGCACTGGACAGTATCAGGAAGACTTAAGACTTGCTGACTTGATTGCTTCAGATAGGCACAAACTATATATGGTAATATACTCTTTGGATTGTTTTTTAATGTTCTGTTTGTCTCTAAAATGCGGTAGTTTACATATCTTTAATTTCACTATGGTATTGCATAGAAAATTCCAAAGATTGGAGTCAAACTATTAAAAAGTATGAATAAGCTAGCTTTTCCAATTTTTAATAAAATGTGAAATATAATTAAGCAATTGAATACTTAGGATATTGGTAGGCTAACCACAAAAATGAATTTAATTACCATGCTGGTTGTTACAGAATCCAGAGAATTAAGAAGCGGAATGAATACTTCATTAAAATAAATTTCTCTTTGGTCACCAGCTTTCCAGGCAAAGAAGATTGGATATTCTATCTCAGATTGTGATTTTGCTTTCATTTTTATTTCCTATCCTGCAGATATTTTCCAAGGAGGAACTCCAGAAGCTCTTACAGAAGTTGAGAGAGTCTTCCCTCATGCTTCTGGATCAAGGTCTTGATCCCCTTGGATATGAAATTCAGTCTTAATTGCAGTCTTAATTCAAATAAAACTAGTGATACAAACAAATATAAGGTTTGGATCCCAGATTCTTGGCCTCCATGAAATAGAGAATATTGGGATTCAACCTCCATTGTTTTATATGGAAATATTTAAATATTTTATTGGCATTGGCGTACAGCAGTTTGGATTTTTTTTTAACATATAAAATAAAGAATTGCATGGATAAAACTTTGTATTTTTCTCAATAAAATTGTAAACAATTTAATTTGTAATGAGGTTTATATTGCTTAAATGTTGGAAGTAGTTTGCATCAGTAAACCTGCCAGACTGTGAAGTGGCCAATAGATGTAACAAGGAAGTATTATAGATAGTCCTCAATTTAGAGCTTGTTGTTTAATTACCAAAGTTAACAACAGCATCAGAAAAGTGCTGTACGGCCTATAAAACATTTCCGAACTTTCTAAAACATCATACCACAGGGGGCCCTCTGCAGTCATATGACCGCATTTTGGGCATTTGGCAAACATTTATCACGAATTGTCTGCAGTCCCACAAAGGATATCCCTTTTGGCTGCAGGAACAGAGTTGAATCCTGAAGATTTCCAGCAGTCCCCTGAAGAATTTTCCCTCCCTGTGTGGAGGGTAGGGGAATCCCTTCAGTAGCCTTCTGCAGGAATGGAACTGAATCTTCAACAGGCAGCTTTTTCACCCTACCTGCTTAACGACCCAGGAAACTGGGTTTGCAATCATTGACAAAGCATGTTTGGTTGCAACAAATAAAAATAACAAATAAAAAAACAAATAAAAAATAAAAAAACAAATAAAAAGGATGCTGAGGAATTGGAAAGAGTACAGACAAGAGCAACAAATGGCTTGAAGGCTAAATCCTTTGAAGAACAATTAAAAGAACTGAATATATTTAGTTTAAAGAATAGTAGACCAAGGTGAGACACGATAGCTATCTTCCAATATTTTGTGTGTTGTCACAGGGAAGAGTGTGTACATTTGTTCTCCATCTGCCCAAGAATACAATAAGAACTGATATCCCTGATACCTTTCTTGCCACTCTTTGATCAATATACCCAACTGGCTGGTCAGGAGTTTAATTTAGCGAAGTTATGGTCCTATTACTCTCTTGGGATTGAAATTTGACAAACTCGCTTCATTCCTTGCCAACTCCCCAAAAGAAAGTCACTGGGGAAGTCCAAAGTCACTCCTGCTCCAACTGCTTTTTTACTTGCCCATGGTCAATCTTTTTTTTCCCCCAGGTGAGGAAATATTTCTGAAAGAAGTTTTATGTATTCATAAAGTCCCCAGGAACTGAACCTATCTTGCCTTGTGCCATGTCTCTGAAATCGTCGGGCTGATTCTTTCTGGCTGTGTTTGCACCACTGGCTCAGTCACAAAACATGCGTCAATTCAGCGCAAACGGAGATAGAATTATCCTAGGTGGCTCAGTGGCTAAGACATTGTGCTTGTCGATCAGAAAGGTCGGCGGTTCGATTCCCTAGTACAGGACGTCTACGTGAGCAAGGGGGTTGGACTAGATGACCTCCAAGATCCCTTCCAACTAGCCGGTTCCAGGCTTTTGGGTGGACTTGCGCCGCTGCCGTTACAGTGGCTCCGAAAAACATCCTCTCTCCTACACCCTACAGGCAGACTTCTCTCACCCGGCGCCGGGTTGGACTGAACTTCTCACCATTCCCAAAGCACCCGAAGAAGCCAAGCGGCGTCGAGACTGGCCTGCATTTGCCGGCAGCTCACGCTGAGCCACGATGAAATCAGCCCGCCCAACAATAGCCGGAGGCTGAGCGGCACCCATCCTGAGCCCAGAGCGGGCAGCCGGCCCAGAAAGGCGAGGGGACCCTTCCCGGGTGGGTTTCTGCCGGGGAAGGACCGGGCTCCCGCGGCAGCGGAAGTTCCTGCGCCCGAGTCACGTGGGCGGCCAAGGAAGAGGCCGTGGCGGCCGTTGCGCCAGCTGTTTGCCCGGGAGCGGCGGCTGCTTCTGCTGCTGCTCCCCAGGAAGTGGACGTGGAACTGGGAAGAAGCTCGAGCATGGAGGGGTGGCTTCCAGAGCGCGGCCGGTTGGCGGCGGGGCTGCTAGTAAACTTGGCGGCGTCTATTTGCATCGTCTTCCTGAACAAATGGCTGTACGTGCGAATGGGCTTCCCCAACCTCAGCCTCACGCTGGTGCACTTTGCCGTCACCTGGCTGGGGCTGTATGTGTGCCAGTCGCTGGGCGTCTTCGCCCCCAAAAGCCTGAGGCCGCGCCAGATCCTTTCCCTTGCGCTCAGCTTCTGTGGCTTCGTGGTCTTCACCAACCTCTCTCTGCAGAACAACACGGTCGGCACTTACCAGCTGGCCAAGGCCATGACCACGCCGGTCATCGTGCTCATCCAGAGTGTGGCCTACGGCAAGACCTTTGCCCCCCGCATCAAGCTCACTTTGGTGAGAAGCAGGGCAGGGTGTGACGGGTGGGCCGAAGCCAAAGGAAGAGGGCTGCGCGTGCTGACGGTTCCCGAAGCAATGGGCTGCAATCTTTGAGCAAGGAGAAGTTGAGCTGGAAGTGAAGCATTGTCAGAAATAGCGTCCACTGTAGACAGAATGGCCTTTTTCGTTGATTATGAAGGCTGGTTAAAAATAATTGATTTAGGCAATTGCTTTCCCAGGTATGATGGCTCCTAGATTTGATAGATTAGTGTCTCTATAATTTCTAGATAGTATGGATGTGCTGAGTAGGGATTTTTTTTTAATTTGATTTATATGCCGCCCTTCTCCGGAGACTCAGGGTGGCTTACAGTGCGTTAAGCAATAGCCTTCATCCTTTTGTATATTTATACAAAGTCAGTTTATTGCCCCCACAATCTGGGTCCTCATTTCACCTACCTTAGAAAGGATGGAAGGCTGAGTCAACCTTGAACCTGGCAAGATTCGAACCTGCAGTAATTGCAGGCAGCTGGTCTTAATAACAGGGTGCTTATTATTATGAAAGCCAACGTGCCCAAAGGTAAAGAATTGGTGAAGGCTGCTGTACTGGCCGAGTTCATTGTATTGTACATTAATATATATATAAAAATGTAAAATAATGAATGTCCAGAGTTGATTGTGACTAGCTGTTTAGGGGCTTTGACTCAAAACTATAAAATGTAAATGCCCCCTTTTCATCCTAAAATTGCAAGATATATATCAGGTTCAATCACAAAACCAAAAAATATATGCTGTTTTAAAATTTGTCAGACAAGATGTTATGAAAAGCTAGGGATATAGCACCTGCTAGCCTCCGGTCTTATTTATACAGGTTAGAGGCTGTAGAAATTCTAATCATTCGGAAACCAAAAAGTTTATGAAGATTGTTTTAGTACTAAGAAATAATACTGAAATACTTAGGCATCAAATGTTTCTTTCTTTCTTTCTTTCACAGATTCCTATCACTTTAGGTGTTTTTTTAAATTCTTATTATGATGTGAAATTTAGTTTACTTGGGATGATATTTGCTGCTCTTGGTGTTATAGTAACATCTCTTTATCAAGTGGTAAGTTAAATATGGTTTTTTTAAATGCAAACTCAGAATAATATTTTATGTAATCTATTCTGTATTAATTTCCAGTCTTCTGAGTAGAACGTATTTGTTCTACATAGTTTCTTGTTATTTAAACTGTAGTTTCGTCTTATTTAACTGTAGGAAAAGCTATTTTCTGTTGGAAAAACTCTATGCACAAATATATAAATCGTATTTGCAGAAGGCTGCCATATGCACTCTTGGCGTCCCAACCTGGTGCCAAGTTGTTTTTGGCCATGGCTTTTGACCATGGATGATGCTGTCTTAGATTAATAAGGAGTTTTGTTCAAAATACTTGTAATATTATTAATATTTTAAATAGTTATTTGAAGAGTTAATTCATGAAGAATGGCCAGTTTTTAAAAAATATTGTAGGATTGTATATTGATCTACAGCGATGAGAAACTTGCTTATTCTGTTTTGTACTCAACAATAAACTGTGCATAGGGATGAAAAAATTTGCTTGCATGAAGCTACTGCATTGTAATATCAATTATTTTGTTTGTGAATAGCCTATTAATCATTTGAACAGTTTTGAACAGTCTTGATAGTGGTTCATTCCAGTTTCAATAGAAAAGAATATAGGTAGCTCAGAGATGAACTATGGAGTCCTTGGTATTCTCTGAGTTTGGTTATTTGCTTCCAAACCTTTCGTTACCCAATTAGGTAACATCATCAAAGCTAGGAGGAAATGGGGTTTGCTCTCTGTTTATATATAGTAGCTTGCCCTGTCAGTGTTGATAGTGGTGGTGTTTTCTCCTTGGTAATTCCTTGATTAGGCTGTTGTTTACTACTTGATGGTTGGTAGTTCCATTTCATAGCTTGTGTTAGTTCTGTTGTAGTGATTGGGTGAGCAGGCATTCATCCAAGTTTATATGCATTATTTTTCCCATAATAATTTTTTGGTGAGAGATAGGTGACATTTCTTCTTTTTAGAATGGGAAGGGAGTTGAAAAGACTTCTCAGAGAGTAAGTAGAAGTTTTATCACTAAACATACATTTTAAATTGAGTTTTCTCAAGGCAAATACAAATAACTGATATTTTAAAGTTTAAAATGTTTTAATTAAAGATAATTAAGCAAAACAGTAAGTGATTGTTTTTAGAAGTTTTTACTTGTCTTATTGTTGACTTTCTATTGACTTTGAGAGCAATAAGATTACAGGTAGTACCCATAGGCCGCTGCTTTCTCCACCCAGCAACAGGCCAACAGCTTCCAATGCAACCTTGCAAGCTTGATTTTCCAGGAGCGTGTCCAACACAAGCTGCAGGGCATGCACTGCATCTCTGGCAAGCTCTCATTCTTCCACTTCCTCCCATTTTGCACCACACTGAACAATGCCTCCTGAACAGCTACCACCTTCGCCCAGGGAGCCACCGGTGCCTGTTCTGTGTCATCCAGCAACAAAACATGCTATGCCTCATGGTCCTTTTTCGCTGCACATTCCATGGTCTTCAGGCTATTGGTCCTTACATTGACAATGTAACCTGGGAGTCTTCCACCTGTACCACTGCCCTGCTTCCTCCCAAGCTGATATAACTCCTAGAGTTGTTCAGCCAGCATGATTATTATTAAAAATATTGGCAGCTGAAATCCTTATATAGAAGATGCCCACACTGGGGAAATTTACTCTAGAACTATCCATGAAGTTCATAGCTGGAATATTTACTTGCTTCCTCAATTTACCCATACTGTGCAGTTTTTAGCTTGTATCAACTTCAAGTTCAAAAGTTTTAGCTCATGTTTTCTCCATAATATGTAACTGCTAGCAAGCTTGCATATTAAGATGCCTCTCTGCTTTCGAAATATTTTATTCTGTTTCATTTTTTTATATTTTATTTTTTGGTATTTTAAGGAATCTGTGATCTAGACACTGATATTTATGCCATTGTATCAGGATAAACAGAAGAAACTGATTGTCTTTTCTTTCAGATTCTTCAGCTGCCTTGTGCAATTGGAATAAAAAGGGTTGAACTATACATGCTTTTCTTAAAGTACATACCAATGCAGTATTTTAGTAGGCATATTGTAATTTATTTATGTCAAGGTTAGACATGTGGGCTATTAATATATTTTTCTTTGTTTCAGTGGGTAGGAACAAAACAACATGAACTACAGGTAAATTCTATGCAGCTACTATACTATCAAGCACCAATGTCATGTGGCATGTTGCTGTGCGTTGTACCCTTCTTTGAACCAGTCTTTGGAGAAGGTGGAATTTTTGGCCCCTGGACAGTCTCTGCTGTGGTAAATTGTTTATTTTTCTTCTTCATTCTATTTCTTCTAAATGCTCTTAAAATTTAACAAACAACATTCCTATTCAAATATAGGCAAATATAATCCTAAATTTGGAAGTTCTTTATTGAATCAGTGTTTCCCGTTATTTAGTTGCTAGCCACTGAATTTTCAAATGTGAGATATTACAACTGAAGGACTGCATGAAAAGGTCAACCCAATACTGAATTATTTTTTAAAATAATCTTCACTTTATAGACATAACATAACATAAATTAGTCCGACTAATAATAGCTGCATACAGTATATTGCTTTTCAAACTTCTTCAGGTATTTGTCTGAAGGCAGACAATGAAGTAATCTTGCTGAAATCAAACAAGCCAGTCTTGAGTGATTCATTTACATTGTCTTGGTTAGAGCGGTTGGCTTGGGGTATTCCTTGCTTCTTCTCTTGCCCTGAATTTTGATTATTTTTGACTCTTTGCCAGCTTCATAATAAAAGTTTTGGGAGCATAACTTTTAATTCGTGCTTTTATTATATATCACTCCATGCATGATGTAATCAAAAGGCATAGTTTATAAATTCAGTAAATGATAAATAATTCAAAATACACTGATGATGCCTCTTTAAATGGTGACAAAATATTTGCAACCAAATTGCCAAGCTCGGAGCTCTAACCAACAGCCTAACCACCAAGCCAAGCTACTAATATTCAAACACATTTCAGTGATAAATAAAACTGCTTAGGAGATGGTACTTGAGATATTGCTGGAAATAGGTATTGTGAAATGTAAATCTAATAAACCCTTTTTATATAGTTTTGTTAACTTTATGCTCCATATTTCAGCTTGCAATTAAATGTTCAAAGAAAAATGCTTCCAGATTTTTAACATTTATCAAAGGGAATAATAATTCAAAGTAGAAAAAGCTAAGGATAAGAAATCAGATCCAATTGTGTTTATAAACACAGGCTGTAGTTCTTACTGTGAATGTAAAATGTTCAGAAAGGCAATGAACAGGATACCATTTGCAACCATCTGTCACTTTATAGAGGATATTGTCTATTAAAAATCATTTGCAGTGATTTGTAAGTGCTTTTTTTTTTCTAATTCACAGTCTATGGTGCTGGTCTCTGGAATAATAGCATTTATGGTGAACTTGTCTATTTATTGGATTATTGGGAATACTTCACCAGTGACGTATCCTTACTGTATTACACTGGTAATAAACTACAAATCAGAAACATCAGGTTAGTCAAAAATAAAATCTTTTAGGTAAAATTTTCAGAAACTGTAGAATCATATTGTATTGGACTTAAACACTATGTTTTAGGATCTTTCAACAAGTCTGTTTGCATCGTTTTATGAGAGAATAACTCATCTCCAATTTTTGGATTTACTTTCTATAGTAGCAGTAAAATAATGATGAATCTTTTATTGAAAAAATATATAAAATGAACACAGGCAGTCCTCGACTTACAACAGTTCGTTTAGTGACTGTTCAAAGTTACTGTGAAAAAGTGACTTATGATCATTTTTCATACTTATGATCATTGCAGCATCCCCATAATCATATGATCAAAATTTCTCAATTCTCAGCAATGTCTCGGGGTGATGTGAACCCCTTATGTAACTTTCTGCCAAGCAAAGCCAGTTGGGAAACCAGAGTCACTTAATAACCATGTTACTAACTTAACAGCTGCAGTGGATTCACTTAACAACTATGGCAGGAGAGGTTGTATAAACCTTACTTAACAACATAAATTTTGGACTCGAAATTGTGGTCATTAAGTCAAGGACTACCTGTATTGTTAACAGTGAGAGAAGTTTTCCTTAAAGCCAAAAATGAATTAACAAATACAAGAGAAAACCTCGCTTTCAGTTTTAGGCAATTTTAAGAACCATTGTACACAATAAGGAACTATGGACATGAGCCTAGCAAAAGTATACACTAGCAGTAACAAAAATATTATTTAAGCTCAGGAGAAGAGGAAAACTTAAATGAAACTGACTCCACTTTTAACTTGCTTGAGAATAAGAAAGAGGAAGGAAAATGCTATTGGGCTTTCAAGATTCTATTATTATAACCTGTATTAATGAAGCAGAGTTCCAGTTATTCTTGAGGGATGTGACCTAGCTTACATTTACAAGAGTAGGACTTAAGAAGCCAAACCTGGCATAGGATTTAGTGTTTGTTTATTTTGGATTAATTATTGAATTTGGATTAATTATGATGTTCCTTAACACGGTTATATAGATACAATATGTTTGGACACTTCAAATTCTGCATCACCCTCATGGGAGGATATCTCTTATTTAAGGATCCTTTATCAATTAATCAAGGCCTTGGAATTACATGCACATTGTTTGGCATTCTAGCTTACACACACTTCAAACTTAGTGAGCAAGATGGGAACAAAAGCAAGCTGGTTCAACGTCCGTAAATTAAGTATTTTTATTGGTAACAAATGAATTGCTTTAATATGCACTGATTCCAAAAGCAATGCATTGTCTATGGAGGAATCTAAAATTGTCCATCTCCCAGCAGAGCAGGTATTCTCTCTCCTATAGCTGCCATGCACTGCCTCCTCCTACTCTGCCCAGTTGGGGTATGGAGTGGATTACATTGAGGGGGGGGTCACAGGACTCAGTAGAAAGAAAAACACAGTAAAGAAGACTGGTAGATGATTGGTGTCTGTTCATGTTGACATACCCAGATTCTCTCTGTGTGTGTGTGTGTGTGTGTGTGTATACACATGTATGTATGCACAATTTGTTTCTTTAAAGGGCTGTTTGTAATTACAGTGCAATCATTGTGAACTGTCCTATTTATACCAAATGGACTCATTCAGACAGATACAGTGTTTTTTGCTAGAAAATCATGTCCTTATGATTATGTCAGTATTAAAAGAGACTCCTATGTTGTAATCAAGTGAACATTGAAGTTTCTTGATCTGGTAAATACTGAGAAACCAAATTGTTTTTTCTGGATTTTTAATTTCTAATAGTCACATGCATTGTTATATTTTTTCTGCATATTTTAAATTTTAATGTATATTTAATTATAATTAACATTCACAGTTGAGCAAAATACTGGTACTCCAAAATTATTAAGACTGAGAATTTTACAAGTTGTTAAGTTTTCTAAGTTTATAAGTATTACCTAACTCGGTGCAGGCTGGCTCCTGTAGTTTGAAAGTGTTTTCTTTTTACTTTGTTCAAGATTCAGTAATTTATACAAGAGGTTTCTTTTCTAATTATTTTGGCCAGTGCAGATGTAGTGTTACTTGCAACTTGATTTGTAAACTTTCTTGCAACTCGTATATATATCTGCTATGATTTAAACATATTTAAGACAGAACTTCCAAAGCATTATGGAGATTTTTTAAAATCAACATCATCCCCTTAACCCCTAGTTAAGAATAAATTCTCACTGAATATTAACTTGGATGTAAAGATAACCATGGTTATACCAAGATAGGGTATTAATCAGCCTCACCCAAATGTATCCTTATGTTTTAAACTGTAGTTATATCAACTTGAAATTATTGATTAGTTCAATTTAGTTGGATTATGATTAGCTATGGCTTTGTCATGTTACCAGATTCTATGCTATCAGCACTGTATAGAATACTTCTGTACTCTTGACCATAATAGAGACTGCTTATTATGGTTGGAAGTCATAACAGCAGTTAAAGGAAGTGACTCACTTACAACCCCTTCATCCTTGCTTTCCCAGATGTGGTTGTTCAATAGATCATGATGTCCCTCGGGGTGGCAGGGGAGGCTCTGGAAGGCCTAGTACAGGTCCTCCCCCCCCCCCCCCCCCCCCAAGACATCCTGAACTCTGTTTCCTCCTCTCAGCGTCTCTGCAGGCCTTGGGCCTGCTTCCCACCCACCAAGTGCCACACCTTCCTCCCTACTTCATGTCACCATCACACACTTTTCAAAGATCTCTGATCTTAGGTTAGGGAAAGAGGACAGGCTGCTTCCAGGATGGCACTGCGTGGCCCAGCAACAGAGCAGCCTGCTGTGCTTCCCAAGTTCTGCAGTATTCCATCACGTTCTGCAGGGCTACTTACCTCGTAAAAGGTAAGTAAGGAGGAGGATATAGGGCCCGGCAGGATGGGAAGCAGGCCCTTGACCAGCAGAAATCCAAGGAAGGAAATGAGGGTTGGAAACAGGCAGGGGGATACTACAAGGTCTCTGCGACCAGCCCTAAGGGCAAAGTACTGTAATGGAACAGCAGAAGTTTAACAAAAAGGTAACAATGCTATAATAAAAGTGTAGTCTGGGACAATCTTGTTGTTATTGCTTTATATATTGAAACGTGTTATGTTCTATTTTTGAGAGCCAGTCTCATCTACAGGTAGTCCTTGACTTACAACCACTCATTTAATGACCGTTTGAAGTTACAACAACAGTGAAAAAAATGACTTTATAACAGTTGCACTGTCCTGGGGTCACTGTTTGTAAACTTCCCAGCTGGCGGCCAACAAGCAAAATTATTGCGAGAAACTGGGTTCACTTAACAACCATGTGATTCACTTAACAGCTACAATGATTCGCTTAGCAACTGTGGCTAAGAGAGTCATAAAAAGGGGAAAACTCACTTAACAACTGTCTTGTTTAGCAATGGAAATTTTGGGCTCAGTTGTGGTCATAAGTCAAGAACTATGTAGTGGTTAAGGCCTGAGGCTAGAAACCACAAGACTAATATCCCTGGTTTTGCCTTAGGCATGAAGGTCAGCTGGGTGACTTTGGAACTCATTCTCCCTTGTTGTGGGGAAAATGGAGACAGGAGAATTAGGTATGTTTGCTGCCTTGAATGTGTGTGTGTGTGTGCGCGTGTGTGCGGGGGTATATATAAATCTTTAAAAATGTATTAGGGAAAAGACTTTTCTAAGGAAAGGAACAGAAGTCACTTTCCTAATGAATCTTTAATTTTAAAATAGTTATCTGAATATTCCAAATATTAACTGTAGTTCTAATTGAAAGTACCCAGTACAGAATTGATCAACTGTAATAATTTACTGTTTGGCCAAATTCTAGAAGGGAATGCAAAATGTGAGATGAACTGGACCAATATATTTACACTATGATTCAAGATCCGTAGCTGGTTTTATGTACTCATTAAACTTATTGTCTGATTAATGTACTTTTTGGAATCCAAAGCTGCAAAAATTATTAAAACCTCACCATACTATACACTAATGTAATGACTTCTAAATTTCTGAAAATGCAAGCATAGTCTGTATTTTGCACTTTTGATTCATTTGTACTGTTTGTTACAGGAAGATGTAGTTGTTTCTTAATTGTATACATTTATGTTAGAAATTAACCTTATAGGCTTATATTACTTTTGTGAGTGTATATAAAAATCAGTCTGAATCAATTTGCTTGTCCATTGAAGGTCATGCTGGATCAGTCCTAGTCCAGCACCTTAATCTCTTACTGACTCTATTGGGCATGTTTGTCTGTATTACCTCCTTGTGTACATACATCTATTCGCCCCCTGGCAATTTCTATTTTTACAAAGAACAAACATAAAAGCAGATGGGGAACAGTGTCTTTGCTCTTCTGTTACAAATAGATACTTAGCTCCAGTAAAAGATTTAGGTTTGTTTTTATCCCATCTTTATTGTTTCTATAAATAACTGAAGCTGATAAATATAACTAATACTCTTTCCTTCTCCTATTTTTCCCACAACAAATCTATGAGGAAAGTTGGGCTGAGAATGGGCGTTGTACTTACCTGATACGCCCCTTCTCTCCTTGCTGTCACGGCAGTCAGGCGTGGGTAGTTGACAGGTAGCTGCCCAATAAGACCGAGTCCACTGGAAAAGCAAAGTCCCGCCTCTTCCTCTTAGCTCCAGTTTTGAGGCGAAGGTATCCAGCGGACTGAAGTGTCTATCGGAAAAAAATACAAGAGAGGTGAAAGGACACCCTCTCCCGAGAAACCCCAGGAACCCCGACCGGGTGGGGCTGACTGCCGTGACAGCAAGGAGAGAAGGGGCGTATCAGGTAAGTACAACGCCCATTCTCCTCCCAGGCTGTCACGGCAGTCAGGTGTGGGACATACCAAAGCCACATGTCCTACAGGGAGGGAGTAGGTCGGACCCTCTGAAGCACTCGACGGCCGAAAGCTGCATCTGCCGAAGCATAGGTGTCCACCCAATAATGATGGATGAAGGGGGTAACCGACGACCAGGTTGCGGCCTTGCAAATCTCCTCCCAAGGGGCCTGGGTAGCCCAGGCAGCCGACGTGGCAGCGCTCCTAGTAGAGTGAGCGGTGATTTTCCGGGGCACCGGCAAGGACTGGACATCGTAAGCTGTGGAAATAGTGGCCCTCAGCCAACGTCCAACAGTTGTCGAAGAGACTTTAGATCCCATGGACGACGGTTGAAAGGAGACGAAGAGTGCCTCCGTTCGGCAGAAGGATTGAGTACGCGATAAATAGACTTTAAGAGCTCTCCGGACGTCCAGTGTGTGCCAAAGTCTTTCCAGGTGATGCCGAGGGGAAGGGCAAAAATTAGGGAGGACGAGCTCCTGAGACCTGTGAAATGTGGAGTTGACTTTGGGTAGGAAGGCAGGGTCCAGACGGAGGACTACCCTGTCCTTGTGGAAGAGACAAAGGTCAGAGCGAGATGACAGTGAAGCCAGCTCTGATATACGACGGGCGGAAGTGATTGCCACTAGAAAGGAGACCGTGAAGGACAACATCTTGAGGCTGGTCTCACGGAGAGGCTCGAAGGGAGGCTTGGTCAGGGCCACAAGTACCTTGTTGAGGTCCCAGGTAGGAAACCTGTGGATGACGGGGGGGCGCAAGTTTGTGGCGCTGCGCAGAAAACTCCGGATCAGGGGCTCCTTCGAAAGAGGGGTTGAAGACCGGAGTTGTAGAACAGATGATAAGGCAGCAACTTGGCGACGGAGGGTATTAGGAGCCAGGCCGGAGACGAAGCCGTCATGCAGGAAATCTAACAGATGTTCAATTGAAATATCCGACGGATCTAGGCCCCTTGAGGAGCACCAGCGGAGAAAGGACTTCCACGTCGAATCATAAATGCGCAAGGTGGCCGGTCGGCGAGCAGCTAGTATGATCGCAGCAGCAGCTGGGGAGACCCTAGAGGCAGTTAGACGGCGCCGCTCAAGGACCAAACGGTCAACTGGAAGGCCTGAGGTTCCGGATGAGACAGATTGCCCTGTTGCAGCTCGACAAGCTCGTCTGGGATGCGCCACGGTGGTGCCACTGACAGGGCTACTAGGTCCGCAAACCAGGGTCTGCGGGGCCAGGATGGAGCCAGAAGGAGAAGCTCGGCCTTTTCTAGGAGGAGTTTCCGAACCACCTTGGCTATCAGGGGCAGGGGAGGAAACGTGTACAGCCGGACTCCCCGCGGCCAAGGACTGCGTAGTGCGTCCACCGCTTCCACTCCCGGAGCTGGGAAGCGGGAGAAGAAACGAGGAAGGAGGTGATTGGCGCTGGAAGTGAACAAGTCGACATGCAGAGGGCCGAAGCAATCCATGAGGAGCTGGAAGAGCCGTGGGGAGATGCTCCACTCGGTGTGGTCCAGGTGGTTCCGGCTGAGAGCATCCGCTCGGATGTTGTCCCTCCCGGCGATGTAATCGGCCCGCAGAGAGCGCAAATGGGCCTCGGCCCAGAGACCTAGACGAAGAGTCTCCCTCATCAATAGCATGGAACGAGTGCCGCCCATCCGATTTATGTGGGCCTTCGTTGACATATTGTCCATCAGGACCAATACATCCTGACCGACGACATGGGATTTGAAGTGGAGGAGAGCCAGGTAAACCGCTCGCAGCTCCAGAATGTTGATGCTGAGAGACTGCTTCTGTAGGGACTAGAGACCTTGAGCCGAGAGAGGGCCGAGATGAGCCCCCCAACCGAGGAGACTCGTGTCGGTAGTCACTATCGTCCGTTGGGGCTCGAGGAATTTGCTCCCTAGAGAAATGGACGGCGAGGTCCACCAGCGAAGGGACTCGATGACTGCTTGAGGAAGCCGAACGGGCCGAGAGGTGGGAGCAGAAGCCAACCGTTGAAAAGGGAGAAGCAGCCATTGGAGTGCCCTGCTGTGGAGACGAGACCAGGGGACGATACCGTAAGACGAAACCATTTTGCCAAGCAAAGTTGACAAGTCAGCAATGGAGGCAGACCTACTAAGTCGGACACGGGAGGCCAGAGAGGACAGGCTCAGAATGCGGTCTGGGGAGAGGGAAACCTCCCCCGTGTTAGTGTCAATAATCGCCCCCAGATGTTGAATCTTAGTGGAAGGAACCAAATGGCTTTTTGACCAATTAATGGAGAAGCCATGGGACTGTAAAATCTGAATGGTCCTATTCAAATCTGAGTGAGCCAGATCTGGAGAGCGAGAGAGGATAAGAATATTGTCCAAATAAAACATAGCTCTAATAGGGATGGACGAAACATGGGCCATAAGGGCAGCCATGATTTTGGAGAAAACACGGGGAGCTGAGGCCAATCCAAAGGGTAGGGACGTATACTGAAAGTGCCTCCCATTGTAACAGAAGCGAAGAAATTTGCGGTGACCAGGCCGAATCGGAATATGGAGGTAGGCCTCCGTCAAATCAATGGAAGTCATGTAATCCCCCTGGCGAACACCCAGGAGGATGGTCTGGAGGGAATGCATCTTAAACCGGCGGTAGACTAAGTGCCGGTTTAAGGATTTTAAATCAAGAATGGCCCTCCAGCCCCCGAGGCCTTGGGGACGAGAAAAAGGCGAGAATAAAAACCTTGACCTTCCTGGGATGGAGGGACAGGTTGGATAGCCCTGATCTCTAAAATGTGAAGGATGGCAGAGTCCATCCGGTCACGCTTCACAGGATCCCAGGAAAGGGGACAACTAAGGAAGAATTTGGGGGGGGTGGAACGAAATTCTAGTGAAAGGCCAAAATGAATGGTGGACTTAACCCAGGCGTCAGATACCGTAACATCCCAGCAATTAAAGAAATGGGATAAACGACCCCCTATAGCCATAGGAGCAGAGGGTTCAGCGGGACCTTCTAAAGGGGCGGCCTCTGCCTCCACGAAAGGGCCGTTTGAAAGGGAACCGGGAGCCGGGCCTGACCTGAAGATCCGCCGGAGCCTGGTTTCTGGAAGCGAAGGAGCGCTGTGGGCGTTGAGTGGACGAGGAGGAGTCCTATGGCCGGAAGGATGAGGGACGAAAGGAGGTGTATGGACAGCTATCAGGACGACGGTTGAGAGCGGGTAAAACCTTGCGGTGGTCTCTTGTTTCCACTAGCAGAGGATCAAGTTGAGCGCCGAAGAGCTTGTCCCCGGCAAAGGGTGAGGAGGCCAAGCGCCATTTGCTGCGGATGTCCGCTTGCCAATTACGGAGCCACAGTAGACGGCGACCAGTGATAGAAGAGCCGATGGCCTTGGCAGAAAACCGGGCGGCATTCAGCGTGGCGTCCGCTGAAAATTCTACTGCAGCCAAAATCTTGTTTAGATCTTGGTGGGAGCGGTGGTCTGAAGGTGGTAAGCGGGCCTGCAGCTGACGCAGCCAGAGGATGGTAGCTCTGTTAAAGAAGGAAGCTGCGGAGGCAGCTTGTACTGACTAGGCCGAGGCCTGATGACCCTTGATGTATGTCCTTTCTGCTTTCTTTTCCTCAGGCCGTAGACAATCCTCTGGAGGACCTGCAAGGGGAGATGGGGAGGAGAGAGCCAGCACTGGAGCATCCACCGAAGGGACCTGCAAAAGCTGGGAAAAGTCCGGGGCTATATTATAAAACCTTTTGTCCAAATTGTTTGGAACTGGGCCAGAACTTGGAAGGGACCATTGACGCGTAAGGACATCTGAAAACAACTTGGGCGCTGGGACCACTTCTTTATGAACAGCAGGCTCCTGAAAGAGTACTGAGGCTGGGTCAGTGGAGGAGGAGGAATCCGCCCCCGAGGAGGATGAGGTGCCAAGGTGAGTGACCTTCTGAGCCTTGAACAGTAAGGATTTGAATAATTGAGGGCGAAAAAGACCAATGAAGGCGGGTTGATCGGGCTCCAACCCTTCATCATCTGACAATTCATTGTCCATGACCTGGCCCTCTCAGAAAGGGAGTCTCGGCTTTCTAAATCTACATTCGCACCAGCTTCTATGACCTCATCGACCGGAGACTGGTAATGCTGATCCCTATAAGATAGGCCTGTCCCGGCATGGTCGGAAATTACAGAAGAAGGCCTCTGCTGGAGTCCCTGTGCAATGCCATGGCGAATGGCAGTGGAAATCAAACCCGCCAGCTCAGGAGTAATACTGTGAAGCGGAAGAGATGGAACATTGGCCAAAGGCGCTTCAGGCGCTAAGTGAAGATCCTGATCATGCTGAGGAGAAACGGAGTCCTCTTGGGCCAGAGGGAAAACTGATTCCACTTCAGGATCAAAGAGGCCTTCCCCTTGTACAGAGTTATCAGGGGACAGGGCCTGGAGAGGCCGTGGGGGAACCACAGCAGCTTGAACAGCGCCAGAATCTACAGGGGAACGGCCCAGTGCTTTTTGGAAGGCCTTCTCAATGGCCCTGTGACGTCTCTCCTCCTCCCTCAATTGCTTGTGGGGAGGGGGGGCAGCAACCTTTGGGGCCTTCGAGGGGTTTCCCCTTGATGTGCCCTCTCCCGGGTCTTCCTGAGCAGGACGTTTTCCTCTCGATGAGGCCTGGCGGGAATGGCGCGATTTAGGGGCGTCCGCCATTTTGAATAAAGAGCCCTGATTAAGGCCTGAGCCCGGCTGAAATGGCCGCCGACGAATAAGGCCTGGGAAGCTCGCAACGTACCCGCTGAAGATGCTGAAGGCGGGAGGCTTGAAACCGCCGTCTGATGTCTCGAGGCGAGCCTCCTGTAGCGCGGCAGTGGGGCGGGTGAGGAAGAAGCTGTTGGCGGGAGTTTAAAAAAAAAACGCCGTCAGGTCCCTCGGAGCAAGCTTCCCGTAGCGCAGCACTGGAGCGGCTGAGAAAGAGACGCTGCTGGGCAAGAACAAGCCCTGAGTGCAGCAGTCACCGCCCTGGCAGGTGGGGATGCCCGGATAGTGACCCACTAGTTGCAAGCCTGGGTCCAATGAACCTCCGCCGGTGAAGGCGGGAAAGCCGGGAAGCGCGGCAGGGCGAACCCGTGCGCGCGCCAACAAATCCGCCGCTCGGAAATAGTAGGTCTTAGCGGCAGAGAGGCAAAAAGGATCTAATTTTAGGCAAAAGGCAGAAATCGAAGTCAAAACGTTCCGTGGTCAAAAAGTAGTAAACGAGGCAGTAGTAAGCTAGAGAACACGATAGACACGGCTGTCCTGGCAGACCGAGTCGAAAAACGGGCTAAGAGGAAGAGGCGGGATTTTGCTTTTCCAGTGGACTCGGTCCTATTGGGCAGCTACCTGTCAACTACCCACGCCTGACTGCCGTGACAGCCTGGGAGAAGAATGTGTGACTGACCTAAAGACACCTGGATGGTTTTCACTCCCAGTTTCCTGGTTCTGGTGCCTTAACCACTATATCAAACTGGCTCCTATGAACCTGAAATTCAAATTGGCATTTCACAGTATGCTTTCAAAAGTATTCATTTTGGAAGGGAGTTCACTTTTATTTCAAAAATACATTTGATGATTATATTAGAATAAAGACATTACAGTGTTTTGGGGTTTGCTTTTTGCTTTGTTTTCTTATAAAATATGCTATAAAATAGGACTTTTAATGTATTATCTGTACATTTTTTGCCCATTTCACTTTAGGAAGCTGTGATAATGAGCAAAAAACTGAATCTATCTCCTCCAATAAAATGTCTCTGAAGTGTCATGAAGAATATAAATCTAATATGCTTTCAGAAATTTGGCCGGTATATTTTATAAGCTGCCTTAAGTGGATCATTTTTTTAAAGGGGAGCATTTGTCCAGATGCACAAAAGTAATAGCATAGAACATGCCCTCAATTTCATTTGCTGTTCTAAAAGTATTTGATATCTTCAAAACCAAATTTATTCAGTAAATCATCCTTGTACTTTCTCTCAGTATTATGAAAGCTCGACTATTTTATATAATGATTAGCTGGATCTTAGCTATTATTCAGACTGAAGAATACTTTAAATGCAACATTTGATAGCTATAGTTATTTTTCAAAACAGCCTGCTAGAGGTAATGTTCAAAACAACATGTCCAGTACAGTGTCATTGTATATTACAAAGCAATTTTGTGTTCTGCAGAGTATTTTCTGAAATGTAAATACAATTTTAAAATTTCAAGTCCTTGCATCCTATGTCTTGAAGAGAGTAACAATAATTTAGAGTATCTTTATCCATCCAAGCTCAATATATTCTTTCCTCAAGTCTTTTAGAGAGCAAAATGGTAACTCCACATCTCATTCAGCTGTAACATTTATTGCATTTGTAAAATAATCATAGATGAGGAATTTGTAGGTCTCTACATGCTACTGGATTCCACCACTTGTTAGACTTACAGGGTTTTAAGAATAACTGGAGCTATAATCCACTAATATCTAGAGACTTAATAATTTTTAATCCGCTTATTAATATACTGTAATTATAATACACAAAAAACGTACAAAGTATTAGTAGAATGGTGTAGATGGCAGTCTGCACTGTGTGGGAGTCTTTTTATTGTCAGAAATAGAATATATCATCATAAAATATATTTATGACTTTGTATAAAACAGAATGGCAATGTTTTTTAATGCAAGGTAATTGTTTTTTATGAATAAAGTAGTTCTTTATTAGTCTTGCCTCTGAACTCTTCTTTGCTTTTTTTAGAAAACTGAAACAGTTTCACCTGTTTAATATCTAGAATATCTCCCCCTAATATGCAGCAGATTAAGTTATATATTTTTAATACTCTTTATTTTTCAAAATACTTCAATGGAATACTGTTATGCTGAAAAAAAGGTCATATTTAAGGAAAACATGATTGTGTTGATACAAATATTCCTGCAATTGTCCACTTTCATAATTATGTCTGACCCTTACATATATAATTATATATTTAATATTACTGTTCAAGGCAGTGGTTACTAAAAGTAATTTTACTGACCAAATATTAGGATGATGAAAATAATATTTTAAATGAAAAGAATGGGTGTGTCTTCCCTTACAGTAGCTTTCAATGATGGGCCATTTCCCTTAATACTAGCACCATTGGGAGTTTTCTTCCTGGATAGTCAAGAGATACCAACTTTTGAAACCATCTACAAGTACGTGAGTTCCTCAAAGAGCTCATCCTTCCCTAGCCAAAATCTACCTCTACTTCTTCAGTTTTAAATCTCTCCATTTTAACTAATCGTACTGGTCCAAATTAAACATTTTACATGGGAGATGGCATTCCTGATATCTCAATAACCTCTATAAGGAAGAAGGTGGGAAACCAAGTTTACTCTTGTGGGCCACTGATGTATGTTCTGTCCAGACCATGTTATCTTCGTAAGAAACTTCTGTTTCAGAACCAAGTTAAACTCGACAGTTCACAGATGGATTTCTACCTAAATCATTCCCAAGCTTTGTTGTTACTGATTAGCCCAATAGGCCATATCAAAATACAAAAGGAAACATTCAGAAGAAAACATAAAATGTGACACAATAGAACTTGTAAAAGTGAAGTTACAACAAATAAAAAGGGATAAATAAGGAATGCAATATCATGTTTGAGTCACCCCTACAATTTATTCCGATCAGACCCACATATGTAGATCTCAGTTGGATTATTTTATTCAGATAAAGGACTGAAATCAATCCCATATCAGAGAGCATATTTGATAAAAAGTGGACATGCACTGGATTTTCAGGTTATATTTAACACATGCTTGCTTCTGTCATTAGATACTTTCTTTACCTCCTATAAACTTTGAATGCAGGGGGAAAGTGTTCTATGATTAGTTGTTGGGTCATGGCTGGTATACATTACTGGTGGGAAATAGACCTCATAGGAATTACTGTCAACTCAGTAAGGAGAATGGAAGATTTGACAGCTATAGGTAGTATTCCTATCTGATATCTATAGGACTGTAAATTACACTTCTGTAAAACTTAAGACACACTTTATCCTTAAGAACCCTAAAAAAATTTAGCTCCAAATCCCACACAAAGATTGTTTCTCAGTATTCTACATAAAACCTATCAAAGATGTCCCAGTTTAATTTGTCAGAGTATATCAGTTATATAATTATAGATTGCTACTTTGTAGAATATAAGCACAGGGTTTACTCTAGGAAAGGCAAGCAAAAAGATCCTGAATAAATAACAAAATGCCATTCCTCCACAGTTTAGTTTGGTCTATGAGAGCCAGTTTGGTCTAGTGCCATGACAGCAAACCTATGGCATGCGTGCCAGAGATGGCACACAGCCTTTTTTGTGGGCATACACTGCTACACCTCAAGACATTGGCCCAACATGGCTGTTGCTGACACCAACCTCGCTAACACTAGGGCTGGCAGGGTGGGACTGGGATCCGGGATCTGGGTACGATGGAAAGGGGGACAGACCCGCAGCTGAGGAGTGAGCACGAACTGCGGCGGCTTCCTTCTCACACAACCCCCTGGCCAGCTGTTGCGGGGCCAGGAAGACACGCACAAGCAGGGATATTCTCTTCAAGCAAGCGGCCGGGCTCAGCCAAAGTGCAGCAAAGGTGCATGGGTTGACAGCTGATGGACAAACGTCTTTGGCGAGGGCTCTTTGGCTTTTTCTGAGCCTGATCCCCAGGGTGGGTGTGCGAGGTTTGGCAGGGCCAGCCCCCTTTTCCCACTGCCCTGAGCTTCTTTACTCATTCAGTTGAGCAGTGCCGCTGGTGGCGTTGAAGTGTGAAGGGCCTGGCCCTGCAGTGCTTCCTCGCTCAGTTGAAGGCTTCATTCAGCCTTCAAACAGTAAAGCTGGCCATGGAATTGGAAGTGGCTGGGTGCAGGAGCCAACGCCATCTGTGGTCCTGGTATGCTGCTCGCTTGCATGTCCCAGCCTTACTTTTTGAAAGCTGAATGAAGCCTTCAATTGAGGAAGGAAGCACTGCAGGGCCAGGCCCTTCACACTCACATCCATCCTGCCAGAGTTTGCTGCACCGGGGCAGGAATGAGACCCTGTCCCGTGGAGCCCGCTGCTGCTTAAGCCAGCAGCTTAAATGCCCCAACTGAAGCTGGAGTTTGCCGCACTATAGAAGAAATGAGAGGCTCTGCTGTCCCACAGGGCCTGCCACTTCTTGAGTGGGAAAGACGAAGAGAAAAAGGGCTGCTCAGTTGGCTTTCCCCCCCCCCCTCCCTGTTGCCAGGAGCTTGCGTGCCCTGACTAAAGCAAGTATCACACGCTCTCTCATACACACATACACAAACACAGAATTTGTGTGCCCCCCTCCTCTCTCTCTCTGTCTTGCTGCAGCAACAGTTACGGAGCTTTAGACCCAATTGGATTGTTCTCTTGCTCGCTCGCTCTCTCTGTCTCACCTAACCCCCCTCCCACCGGAAGAATGAAATATTTTGCAAAATATTAAAAAGGGAAGATAAAATAATTCCCTAAAGGAGAAACAGAAAAACCTTAAGGGAGGCAGAAACCAGCCCCAGTTTCCCTGCCCCAGGCAGAAACTGAGGATGCTTGCTTTTAGAAATGCAGATCTGGTAATCCATTCAGAAAGACTGGCTCAAGACAGCAACAAATAAAAGTTTGACAAAATTAGGTCAGACAAGCACCTAGGATTTGCATTTCCCCTTTTGCCTATAGAGCCATTCATGATCGCATAGGAATTTGACAACAATCAATAGAATATTAAAGGACATGTTCTTGCACAAGAACAGGATGCTAAAATACTAAAGAAGGTATGCCCAAAGAAGGTATAAAACCCACCCACTCTCAGCTGCATTTTGTCAGCTGCCCAGAATCACATGTGGTTGGTGATTCTGCTTCATCAATAAAGAGAACCTTTCTTTCCAATCAGCCTCCAGTGTCCATTTTGTTTCCAGTGCCTTTCTCCAGATGGATTTTTGTAGGAAGTTAGCACCCACCCCTTTCCTGGAAGAGTGAAATATTTTAGGAAATATGAAAAAGGCAGAATATTATATTTCCCTGGATGAGAAATATGAGAAGCATATTTTACAGACAAAGCAGCTCCCACCTTCCTGCCCCCCACCCTTTGTCAATGGGCCATTAAGGCCTGGGCCAGTCTATTCTACATAACAAAGATCTGCCTCCTTCAGGCAGAGCCATAGTAGGAATTGCCAAAGATAGGATTAGCCCTCTACACAATAGCAGCAGAAACTCACCACATGTGACCTGGGAAGCACATGTGACCATCAGCCAGCAAGGCCCCCACCCCCTGGGAGTCTGACAACCAATCAGGATACTCTTTCGGGGCCCCAAGAAATGCAGAGCCAGGGAGAGCATAAAAACCCGAGGATTTTCTGTATCTGCCCTTTTCTGTTCAGGAACTCAAGCCATGTGATCCTGTCCACCATTAAACCATCTTTCCAAGCAGTCTCCATGTTTCCAGTGTCTAATGTGCGTTTCTTGTAAACATATTATATCATTATTAAATTGTTTCAAATATGTAAATAATTTTTTCCTTTTCTGTGCTGAATTCAACCCATTGACATTCCAAGATAAACACTTAAAGGTCATTGACCTCTTCATGGAGCGCGGAGCAATATGCTTGAAGTTCATCCACAAGCTTCGATCTCGCTCCTCCCATAGCGCCAGTCTCTTGTGCAGTGCTCTTAACTGCCTTCTTGTCTTGTCTTTCCTGTTGTTGTTGTTGCTTCTGTTTAAGTAGCTTGGATTGAGCTCTAGTTATACGTTGATCTTTAACTTCAGTCAACTGAATCAAATCCAAAATTGGAGAAGAATCCAGCGATGGCTCACTCAGAATACCTCCTTCTGCACCTTGCACGTTTTCTAATTCCTGCTTAGACTGTTCTTTCAATTGCCTCTCTTCACTCTCCTTAATCTCCAGAACTGTAGATGTACGTGGAGATGGTGTTCTTTCCATAAGAATAGTACTGTAAAAGTGTTGCGCCTTCTCCACGGTATTCAACCGATATCCTTCTCCCTTATATCTGAAAATTACCCCAGCTGGTGCGTCCCACCGGAAGGGTATCTGTAAATTTTTCAATTCCTTAACAAGAAAACCAAATTCTTTTCTAGCTTTCAGCATTTTAGGAGGTAACTCTTTAAAAATTACAAGCCGTGAGCCCCCCACTTGTATAGAGGTGTGGAAAGATTTTTGCAGGATATCATTTCTAATTTCTCTCTCAGTAAAGTATATGACCACATCTCTGGGTAATTGTCTTTGCCTGGCCACCCAAGAGTTCACTCTGTAAATTTTATCTATTTTATGAAATACCAAATCAGGATTAACTTGTAGAATCTTAGCCAGGGCTTCAGAGCAAACTTGTCTCAAGTCCTGTCTTTCCTCCTCTCGAATTCCCCGAAGCCGTATGGCAAATTCCATCGCCCGGAATTGTATCATAACAATCTCATCTTCAATTCTCTGCATTTTATTGTCAACTTCATCAATTTTATAATCATTGTCTTTCATCCTAACATTAACTTCTGATTTAAATTCTTCAACTTTAAAATCAACTTTCCCAATAAAATCTGCCAGGCCAGACGCCACTTCTGATATTTTTTTGGTCACCATAATTTGGTTCTGTTTCACCATGTCTTTAATTTCATTAATTTCCTGCAAAAATTCCTGATGTGATTTTTGAAGTTCCTGTTGTGATTCTTGAAATTTATCATCCAAAGTTTTAGA